AGTGCAATATCTTATTCCATTCACTTCTTTCTTCGACCAAAGTCCGTGCTTTTGTCAACTCTTCTTCCAATTAGAAAATCAATTTTAACCACCAAGTCATATCGATTTTCATCCCGTGTTGATGTCATCAATGCTGCTAGTTCAAATTTCTAAAGTGTTTTTCCTTGGTGTTTGTTTTATATCTAAGCATGTTTATTAAATTAAACGTTAAACAATTTCACGAAGTGATGCAGGTTAAAAGGAAATGCGATATGCATGTTATTGTAAATTATGCAAATGCAATCCAAAACATTTGAAATTATCAGCGTAGGGATTATCTTGTAGCAATAAAATTATAATTTTATGTGGGTGTCACATGAATGAGTGTGAGGCGCGTGGCGTGCACCGTGTCACCTTATTTTCATTACTTTGGGTCTAAAAGAAAGATTGGCTCGAGGACTTTTCACAGTTTTTTTGAGAGGCAAATATTAACCGTGGCGTCGGAATTTCTCAGAATGAGAATATACATATGAACATTCTGAAACATTTGTTTACTACTTTGGCATGCACCTATTACGAGACTATTACATAGCTAACGGAGAGGAGAACGAATTAAACTATTCTGTGCCATGCTGTAGTTTCTATTTTCTGTTCATATAATTGCATATGGAAACACGTTGTATCCAGAATCGTAGCTACAGAATAAATTTAGCCTCTCGCCGTACGAGCTTGAATTACATATTTCGAACCCAGAATGGCAACAACTTATGAACAACACCGAAAAAAATCAACAATCTCAGACCGGTGCTTTTACCTATTTACGTTGATACAGATGAGCATTATACCCTGCCAAGTTTTTGATGAGAGAGCAGAGAGATAGTCGACTATTGCGAATACTGGGCATTTTACATACACCATCAATTCATGATTTACGAAAAAATTGTAATGGTAGTACATTTTAATGATACTAATTTATTCCACTACCAACCCAGAAGCATCGATATAAAATACGTAAACACATTTAATAATAAAGAAAGATACGCAGGTTTTTTGTTGCTTACACTTTCGACATAAAATTGAGGGTATTATTTTTCATTCGGTTTCATCACTGAATGGCGTACATGTAATATAGAGCGTTTCTGACAGATTCTCCCAGCTAAGACTTCGTCATCTCAAGTTAATCCTCTAATTGCATATGTTGTGTTTATTCGGTTTGTTGCGACGCAAGGCTTCGCTTACATATTTACATATCAATCAAAGCATACAGCAAATAAATGTGAACATCCTCACACAGATTGTCTCCAACTGGCACACATACAAATTAGCATTTGTTGTGTTGCTGATCTAGTACAAGGAAGGGAAATAAGTTAAACCATAATTATAATCAAGACGGCAGACACATCTCTCCGACGACAGTCGAGCTACGGCTTAACTGTTATCTTTGTTTCAACCGTTGAACAACAAAAATTGTGTGTTGCAATCTCATCAAGGTTGTCTTAATGCGTCGAGAATTTTCACGGGACATTCTAAAATGACAATAACCTTTTGTTTCAGATCTCACAATAGAACCCTCGAAAACCCTGAAATGTCCCAAAGAAGTAAAATTCTACAGAATTCCAAAGGATTGTGTGATCATCGATTTTCGATGATCGAAATTGAATGGTGGAGAATACGAGAAAGTACAACTGGAACAATATTGGACAATTTCAAGTATTTCGAGACCCTGGAGATGGACGAGGGACGCTAAAAAAAGACGAATGACACGATTTTGCCTCACTGGCTACATTGCATAAAAATTGCAGAGAAATGATGTGCTTATCTCAAATATGTTTTTTATTAGTGCAGCTTGGATGATGATTTGCAATATGTATTTCGCTAACACAGCAGATCTGAACTCATTCATTTTCACTCAAGTCGTACATAGTGTGTAGCTTCTTAATGCACGTAGTCGAACCGGATCGACATGGCAGATAGCCCGACAACTGTCTACTTTTCTTCCGTCTGAAATTAAAACGAAGGACACTCGCAGACGAATTTAGAGTTCAGAAATACCAAGTCGAGCATTTGCCGATTTCAAATTCTTATTATAGAGAGATATACATGTACGAAGAGGGTTCAATAGAATTCGGAAATGGTTTTCGTGAATATTGCGTGCACATAGTGTACATCGTATAATATGCAAGATAAGTTATCGCAAAGTCGTTCGCCTTTCCATGCAATCCCTGATCAACCAAGTCCCGCTCTATCATATTTACATACCCCGTATCGTATCGTATCGTATCATTCAATGGGATATGGGGATACTATTTAATTTATTTCACCTCCCTGTGGAATATGCTGTTGAAATACGGCTTAAATCATGCAGCTTAAATTATATTCATTTTATAACAGCCCGCTGTATTTCATTTAAAACTTTGATCTAAAAACAAATGGCATTTTCTACCACGAGAAGGATATGGATTATAGACTTACAATAACTAATCTGAGAACCAAATCAGACTTGCTTCGATAACCCCGCATGACTTCGACATTCTGATATCAGACGAAAAAAGTATTTACGTAAGAGCGAATTTATTTTTATTGGTGCCCTTTCCTACACAAGTCAAGCCTGAGTAAACCATAATTTATTCTATCCTGTGAAATACATACACACATTTCCTAAATTGATTTTGTGATACAAAGTTGCATACCCTGCTAGATTTTTATACCGTTAATAGAACCGTTAATAGAATTTACGGACATTCGTACCGATTGTTTAACAATCGGTTGATATTTACGCAGAACTAAGATATCATTTTTATAGCAGATTTTTTTATTGTTCCAGATTATTAATTTTTCCTTCAATAGATCAACACGGTACACACTTCCTTATTGCGTTGGAATGAATTCAGACAAAGTGTATCATATGCAAAATTGTGGGTTACGTAGTCATCTCTTCCTCTTATTCAGAGGTGTCTACGAGGAGTGGTACTACACACATACGAACAACAACTGGTGGTAATGGTACTTGCAGTGGATGCAGACTCCTTGCCAAAATTTCAAGGACAGCTAAAGAAATACATACGCTTTGTTACGCGACGCCACTTACTTCTCGCAGCCAGTTCCAGGGTAAAAAAAATATTCTGCGTTGTTCCCATATTGTCGAGTCAATTATTTATTAGTTGGAGGAGGGTCACGGACGTATCCATTCAAATCATTGAGAAGTTGACAAAATTGATGAATTTATAGTTTCAGTAAAAGTATCCGAATCATAGCGTCACTGTCTGACCCGAGACAAGCAACGTGGTGATGATGACATCGAAAAATATTCAGCACGTGTAACAAAAGAGCGAGTGGATGGTAAGATGTAGGATCGTTTCCGCTCAATAGGACCACTTTTCGGAGAAGTGAAAGCAATTAAACAATGTCAACACCAAGGAATCCCTTCCACTCTCATTGACTCACCCACCACTCAAAATGGGTTCGACGGTGCAATTAATTTGCACCAATTGACTGAGCAATTTCATTATTGCGTGTCTTTTGAAGTTATCGAATTCTCATTTCTATTTACACGAGGTTCGACTCAATTATATCACACGTACAAATTTGTACAAATTTGTACATATGTACTTGATCAAGACGTGTATGAAATTATATTAGGATAATAACGTGCAAACTTTGGACAAACCTCACCAGTTTTAAATCTCACTTTATGAGGTCTGTCCAATATCCGTTAAATTTACCATAACGCAAACTGGATCGTATTTATAATACACAACAACCGTCCGATAAATTATGCTTCATTTCATAGCTCAAATTATAGTAACCGCACATAAAACTAAGCGTGAACCCAGCACATGCTCATAAACAATATAAATAATTAATTATTATAATGGAACAATTAACCTAAGTACTATAGTATCGTCGTAATAACAACTAAACTACGTACACGTACAACTAAGCTCTTGTACTACATATGCACATATGTATGTACGCTTGCAAGTATATAGTGCAGTTGCATAAATGGATATTATGCGGACAAGCAAGCATGCAATTATGTTTTTCACATATTTCAGTTGTGGCTGATTATTTTGTAATTGTGATCATCAATCCTCCTTCCGTTGATTATCTAGTTAGCAATATTATTATTGCACCATGAGATTATCCTATCGAAACCACTTGACATTGAGTCATCGAGTCGGTCAGCTACCTATTGTTTCAATGTCATGTCGAGTCTGCTTCTTCGCGACTCGTGTAATATTTTTTGTGTTGCTATTCGTCCTTGCCTAAGTTTACGACCATTTATTTGTTTACTAGAAGGTGACCACCACCTAAACAAACGCTGTCTCAAGTTGCACCATTTAGATTAATAAATTTCAAGAAAATATAAATCAGATTTTACACAGTGTATTATCAACCAATTACACAAAATTCAAAGCAAATAATATTCTTTGACTTTATGCAAATATTTATAAGTCATGTATTCACCAATTTAGCTTCCTGAGGAGGCCATTAAAATTTTGTTAAGCCAACATTTATTCTGCAAATGCATATAAATGGCTGCATTATGTTCATTCATTCAAGTGGGGCGTCATTCATAACGAAGAAGGATAGATTAAGGTCAAGGTGAGCCAACTGCAATATTATAATTATTTAACGCATAACATGATGCCTAGGACGGATGATGGGACGGAGAACTCGGTACAGATTTCGATACCACCGGTACAAACGTATCTCTGTGTAACATGTCAAGTATCAAATAACCTTTGCGGTAGCATAATTTGCATTTGTTACCAGTAAAACCGACATAAAATATAATACTTGCTCTGCACTTCAAGATGTACATTCCCTCAATGTACACCGAACTAGCGAAAGATGAGGTGGACCCACAAAAATGAGATGATGAGTTTCGTGATTTATCGTGTCGTAATAAAGGTTTGAAGTTTATGCTTTGTGTTGAAATTGTGATATACGCGAGTTGCATTGAAAGCTTCACGAGCACAAAATGCATATCCACGAAATCAGAACTTTTTCACACTTACTTTGCATCCACCCACAACTGCGTGGTCCAGTTCAATTTCTGATGCACTATAGCTGCAAAATATCACCCTTTTTGCATTGAAATGTACACATGTACGTACGTATGAACAAACGCACAATAATATTTAAGTGCATGCACCTGCACGTGTTATTGCCCACTTTCCATGCTGCACTCTTCACGTGCAGCTAGTTTGTTTCAACACGTCGTCGACCCTTTTGTAGATTTGATATGCCACAAGAACGCCTTGATTTGACAACTTTTTACAATTCTGTGCACGTTTAGTGAGTGACTGTTAAAATAGTTCTTTTTGTTTTTAAAACGTATTACACACCACCGAATAATACAAACGATGGAATAATATTAACACAATATTAACGAGTATGTAGTTTGAACAATGACCCAAATTAACCACATCAGCATCGGCGTCTCTTGACTAGTTTACTGACTGCAATCCGTCCTTTGAGTGACAGATTGTGAATGGAGTCCTCGTTGTGCAGAAGGTGTTCTCCAGTTGGGTTTCGCTTAATGGTTCACTGTTCATGAATCGCATAATAAATTCAGTCACCGTACAACATATACTCCGGAGATATATATTTCCTGTCGTGCTGAATTATACACGATAACTGCATGCTGGCTTGTCCTGTTTTGCGAAAATGTAATTTATATCGTCTGGAATTGAAACCCATTCCCTTCTCCACCGTCACTTGCTAAATAAGCTGTCAATAACAGACACTGGTGCTGAATTGAGTGCATAAATACGTATCTTGATCAGATCATCACGCGAGGTTGAAAATCTGTCACTTTCTTCAGTGGACGGAAGTCAAGGGGCTGCGCGGAAGCGTCAACAAGCTCCACGAATTGACCCCGATGATGATAGATCGGCGTTCACGCTTGCAGCCTGGCTAGATTCGATTGTGATCTATTTCTGTCCGCGAATCAAATGAAGTGAAAAAACTGTTTGTCGCTGTTCGAAGGAGTTAATGGCGTTGGACTTTGTATATAAATGATAAATATAAATGCAAAATGTGTCACTGCTACTGCTTGGCATGGAGCCAAGATGCGCTCCACTTTAGTCGTTGTGCTGTGGTACACAGAATTACGGAGTTAGTTTCGCTACTCGGGCAAGACTGAAGCGAAGTTCTCTTCATCGCGTGGTTATATAACCAGCAACCCCACTGCTTCTGCTATCTCCACGCTATTGAATGAGGCTGGTAAAACCTGCTGCAACGTGCACTGAATTCCTCCAGTATTTTGGAGGAATAAACCACTTTTAGCTTTGTAGAGATTCATTTCCCAACAGCACTGTTATCTTTGTTGGCTGGATGGATATGCGTATATGGACTCCAAATAAGCACCCTTAGAATGAAACTCCTTCGACGCAGAACCAAGATGCGTTTGAAGCAGTTGAGGCAAAGGGTCGCTGAGGATTTTAAGGGAATTTCGTAGTGAAATCCAGGCAGCCATCAGGGAGAATATTTCGTATTGACCAGACTGTGCTAGCCCTTTGTGAGTTTGGTATTCCCGTCTTGATTTTTGCCCTCACATTTTGCGAGATCTTCCAGCACGGACCTTTGCTTGCAGACCGTCGTGCATCGTAAAACATGGCCTATACCAACGTTAAGAACCATATTTAGCTGTACGTATGTATGGATAAAAATGAGAGGGGTGGCATGTTCATATTGTGTTTCTCCTTGTAATGTTACATAACTTTTGTTTGGTACACCAAGTTTGTCTGCTATGCACTCTCAATAATAGCTCCAGGCGATTCACGTTGACTTTTATTGTTTTCCACAATATTATTAGGTAGACTTGTTTATACTTTTCGCGAATTTGGAGTTCTTTCTATTAATACTACGCACGCGAACTTCCGGGACCTGCTACGAGTACTTCTTTTGCAGTACATGTGAGCAGAAACATTTTGCGTATTAGGGTTCCAACTCTCTCGCCCTTAAGAGTGCACTGCAGTGGTAGAATGGCAGCATAAATATTCCTCTGTCCGTATCTTCCAAATATTACGGGAAAAGTTTATATACATACAGCCCGAAATGCAGTATTCATTTCTGGACTTCTGCAATCATATCTTTGTTTTTGTCAGAAAATGATCCTTCGTATATGTATCAAATTTATTTATCAACATCACGAAAATACGCAGCCATTGATGTTTCTGTAACAGGATAGTTATACGTATGTATGGTCACACAGTAAATATTGTGGTGGTTTGAGAGGCACGAGGATGAAATCGCGTTGTATTGACTACAATGTAGATATGAATGTAGCTGCTTGCTATGCGTATTCTACGTATTTCATGAATTATTCGCCACATCTGAATAAGTTACCAACGGCTAAAAATCAACACATCGTTCGTTGGTGAAAGGTGAAAAGTGAGTGGAGCGAATAAATAAGTTATCTACCTCAAATCCATTCTCAAACTCAAGAAAAATCTACTTTCCCCAGGGTGTACGTTACCTTTAGACCAGTGAGACCCCCATCTTGTCACATAGCGTCACGCAATTTGGTTCCCTCTCGTCCTCAATATTTGTGGAGGATGCCTGAACATTTCAGTCACTCAAAATAGATTAAATCTATTTTGAGTTCGATTTGTGATGCAAACATGCAAACGCGTTTGCTGGGAAAGAGGAGGGCCACACCCCCTTTTTTACGGTCTTTATGGGAATTTTCCGGGATTTTCTTCCCGAAAAAAATACACAAATCGAACTCACGATAGATTTCATGAATTTTTGTTCAAAATAATAGTGATGAGGTTTTGGCACGCTAGGAAAAATTAAGAAGAAATAACAAATGAGAAGTTGATCCGAAGTTTACTTTCTCCGTTCTTTTACACTCTCTCGCAGCTTGAGACCTTTATTTTTATGGTTGAGTAATGAGTTCATATTGGTGGATAAAGAAAGATCAAGGCTCTTCATCCTACAGATTTCTCTATTTTTCCGTCGGTGTCAAATGCATAGGTTTGATTCACAAAAAAAGGAAGTCTTAACTTGGTGGATAAAGAAGGGATCTAATTCTATTGTATTCCCCAGATATTATTTCCCTACTACTCCAGCCAACATTCCTTGTTTCTTGATTTATGATTTATGATAGGAAAGATGCAGCATTATTATAAGCAGACGTTTTCTTAGATTATATTCTAATCCAATTACAACATGTGGCTAAATGTGGCGTTTTTCCATGCTAAATTGTAAGCATTGCGTACGTGCGAATCAATATGAAAATAAAGACGTATGTAAATAAAAATGTGAAACTTAAGGTGACATAAGCATGAGTTAAGCGACACAGACATTCCGGAAAACTCTATAATATTGCATTATTGCATTCATTGTCTACAGTAAAATATTACATAATTTTACACAGGAGCAGAGTACATTGGAATTTATAGATTTGTTGTCATTGTGCAGATAAACAATACGTACAAAAGCTCATATTTATATGTATTTAGTTGCCCGTTTTCTACCTCTGCCTCACATTGGATACGCTGGATTTTTAATAGTATTTTATTAATAGCCGGCACACAAAAGCACATTATGTGTCTCTGGTAACTTTGGTAGTCTAGTAAAGCTTAGAAACGTGATTATTATCATGCAATGGATTATTAGCCATGAACTAAAATAATCATTATGAAAATTATACATCGTTTAAAGAAGAAATGGAAGTTTTGGAAATTGGGTGCAGTTGAAAGATACTATTTTGAGCTTAAAGACAATAATACTTTCCCATTTCAGGATTTGGGTGATGGTAAGGCTAAATATCTACATATGCACATATCGTATCAGCTTTTACTTAATAGAAAATGCCAATTCAATTGAAATTGAGCTCAGTAATCACAGTTATTGATTTCCTAATTCCACATTTCAGGCTTTTACTACATTTTAATTCGGTCTGACAAGTAAGTTTTGTTGAGTACATAAAATACAGAAAGCCTGATCTGTATGTACATATGTACGATGCCACAAAATATTTCTATTTTGCATTTTAGATTTGCGTTTGGAATAGTACTTATCATTATTGCGATAATATGTTTCACCTTATTCACCATCATCATCGGCTATTTTAGTTTTCCCCTCATACTTTTTCTAATGGTTTTGGGCTACGGAGTCTTTTGTCTTTATGGGAATGTTTCACCAAAAGAACTCATCATCAACAGGGTGAGTCTCTCCATACAGTTGCATATTACTCCCGATTTCGTTATTTGTCCACACAAATCCGCTATGCATTTCATGTAATATAATTTTAATGATTTAGCACGCCGGATATATACTACGAATCAAAGGAAATGAGAAGATAGTGGTGGAGGAGCCGATTAACAACATTTACATAAAACTGCAACGAAAATTCGACACGAATCTTTTGGTAAATAAATAATGCAGGAGCATATTCTATGACCTATAATTTGCAGTTGTGTCGTACATTGATTTTAGCATTGCTTTGTCAATCTGTAGCCACATTACTACCTGATCTTGGGAGGGTAATGATCTCTTTCAATTAATATATTCGGTTCAGTATTTGTGAACTTTTGAATGCACTCTTTTGCAGATACCGACTTGATGACATTCGTCTCACTGGGTTTTGCATGAAAGACGGCCCCTTGAGGATTCTTGGAGGTGGAGTTGCAGCCAGAATGGGCATTAATTTCTTCGACGTGGACAATAACTCTGTAATTATAACTCATTAGTCACACCATTCATCATCCAATTAAAAGTATTATAGAGAAGCTAAGTTCTTATCGTCCCTTTTGAAACACGCTTTCTGAGCAGACCATGCACAAAATCTATCACTATGCGGATCGAAGTATACTTTCCCCTCCGGAAACTGACACCACCAAATTCCTCGCCCTCCACGGTTTGACCAACAAGGATGTCGACATGGCACGACAGGAGGACATGACAGAAGACTACTCCAAAACACCAGGGACCATTGTGAAACGCATCCTAGAAAATTACGGCCAATCTCCCAAAATCAACCGACGCCCCTCACACGTGGAGGATAAGCCCAGGAGCAAGACCTTAGCCACCCTGCTCACTCTGGACCAAGAACGGCAATCAAAGACCCCCCCAACCTCAGCACATCCCAAGGATATTCCGTCAAACTTGACTGTTAATACGACTAAATAACCGTGCGACCAAGTCTAATTTAAACCCATGAAAAGTTTATGCCAGTTTATGTATGGAGAAAAAGTCTGTTGAAAATATAGTGCAATAAGCATAGATCTACAACATTTGAGAATTATAAGCCAGGGACAGAAGGATTTTTTAGAATTTTCATGAAACGAGGAGCCCAATTGAGACGAGAGCGGGCTGGTGGACGCGGGTGAGAATGCTTGCTGAACCGGACTTTTTATTCGTCTTAGCAATATTATTATTTACTTCGGAAAGAAGCATCTTTTTTACCCAAATTACGTAATATTTGTTCTAGCTATTTGTAAAACGATATGCACAACTTTTAATTCTAATTCTTATTAGCACCTACGTATTAACGTTTTTATCTGTAAGTCTTGACCGACTTTATTGGGTGCTATTGAAGCGAATAGATTTGGAATAAATCAGTTATCGTGGAGAATTACATTTGTCCTTCATTTGCGTTTGGGAAAAACTTACTTGGACAATTTAGAAATGAACAACAGCGATGAAGGTGCCCCAGAACGAGGAACGGCTGCAGGAATAGCATGTTAGCTACAGCTAGCTATTATTAAACTATTCTTAATTGTATAATGCAATTTGCACTCAGTTGCATGAACAATTTTTTTTGTTTTGTCATTCAGCTGTTTTTAAAATTGGTCAAAACATGTTTGGCATGTCGGCCTTTACCGAAGCGGATTTCAAAAAGGTAGATCAAGAAAGTAAGAAATTTGGTAAGGCTAAATCAGGTAAAACAAATCCAAAAAAGAAGACCAAGAAGAAAACGAGTCCTCCAAAAGTACTAAAACCTGATAAGGATCTAACCACCAGTGCTTATGAGTAATAATTTAATATCATGATTCATGAACGATCATAAAACTTTTTTAACGGTTTGATTTTATCATAGTGACGTAGACGAATTCTTAAAAGAGCATAGCAGATTGCTTGGTATTGGTAATGATGACGAATTACATTCTGAACATGGGCGAAAGAATTCCACTCCCAGCACTGATTTAAAATTTCACCTGCCGTGCAACAAAACAAATCGAGTATTAAATTAATATCTAAATTAATATGACTCTGGTATTTATTAATTGTTGTCTGATCAGAGGTTTTTTAATAGAAGAAACTTAATTCGCCGCCGACCGATTTGGTGTCTACAGTGGAAATTGATCTGGGTGACGATGAAGATGGTAAATTTTATAAACCAAGTATATTTTTAAACACTTGCTTGAAAATTATTAATACCGTTCTCTTGTTATATAGAAAACAATGCTATTCTGGACGATGATGCTAGCGGTTCTAATACAGTAATCAATCTTGATGACTCGCAGTCTTACCTGGGAGTAATGCTCGGATTTTCAGTATCATTGGGTGGTGCACAGATTAGTGTAATGATGTATGAAGTATGTAAATATCTACTATTATTATATTATACACACTCTTTATTATAGAAAAGTCATCTATATACTTAATTATTTGTTTTTTTTTGTAGAGTGAATTCGTAAGTGACCTGAGGAAAAAAATTGCGCATAAAGCTAAAATAGCTGACCCCGAGTCCTTACAAATGTTTTTCGAGAATACGATTCTTGAGGATACCAAAACTATTAAGGAAAGTGGAATTTTGATGTGTTGCAATATTGACGCGTTCATGTTGGAGAAAACTGACCAAGAATTGTTTAATGAAGAATCAGAAACGGTCGTGCAGTTCAAAATGCAAACAGGAGATAGGAGAGGTCGACAGAATTGCTACATATATGCAAAAAAGTCGTCGACGGTGAGAATGGTCCGGGACAAATATGCAAGTGAGATGGACTTCAATCCTTCAGACATCAAGCTGATGCGCGATGGCGAGATTTTAATTCTCGACAGCCTTATAAAAGATTTAGAGGACCTCGAACGAGAAGACAGCATTGATGTCATAATTAAAAACGAATAAGTGAAATTATAATTATCTTCATTTCAAGTTGGTTTTCCTTAACTTTTGGTTAAGGAAAATAAAAAAAATTTGCTTTTAAAATTAAAAAAAACTTGAGATATCATTAAGTATCTTCGTTTACATTTGGCCAATTACTTACTCTATTAACACTACACAGTTTTAATGCAATAACAAATAGTGACAACTTGACTATTAGATATTTCTTAATCATGTTATATCAAATGTACATACAGGCGAAAAGAATTTGTACTATTTTTGTGTCGTAAGTTGTGAACAATTTTATTGGCTAAATTAAACATTTTAAAAATAATAATAAATTCAAACTTTTCTACTGATAAACTATTTTCCATGTTTTTTTTTCATTGGCAAAAAGTGCATTGCACTCTGCACAGCGACGGGTTGAACCAGACAGACAACGAAATTTTCTTCATTTGAACTTTCATGTTATTATTTATTCCCTTATTCACTTCTCTAATTCTTTGGACTTGTCATATAATTAATTACGTATTATTTAGTAGTGTCAACCAAATTGATTAAGAAGGTCAGAAAAACATGACTTGCGCCATTTGTCTTGAGACCTACATGGATTTTAGCCAAACCCCCTACGTGGAGGAGGACCGTTTACCATTCCAGTGTCTGACTACGTCGTCGTCGGGTAAACTTTCCCAGGAGCCTGATTCAGCAACTCAGACTTCAAATGACCCAGGACTTTGCTGTTTTCCACCCTTTCTACGCCCGGCGAGGAGGGTTGAAGTTGAACCCGAACCACTCGTGACTGACGTACGCACCACCGTCTGCAAGAATAAGCCACTGCATGAGACAGCTCCTGTCGCCACCAAATGTTGCGGCCACGTTTTCCACCTAGCCTGCATTTCTTCCTGGATGCAAGCCCTCACGTCGCCAAATAATGAGTGCCCCATGTGCAGGGAACCAGTCGATCTTGAGAATCTCGTTAAACTGCGTTTAGAATGTCCAATGTCAATTATCAGACGTAAGTTTACAATCCATAATGCTTATTTTTGATGGATCCTCGTCTTAATTATATTTTCTTCTTTTGTAGAAGAAACTGCTGTGGGTGTGCTTGTCTCGATGTCATTAAACCAGTATAATCACTTGAAGACAGGATTTACAGTGGGGTACCGAGCCGGGATGGAGAGATGGAAGGAAGAGTATCAGCAAGAATTGGCAAAAGTACAGAAGGAAGGTCTGAAAGAAGTGGCAAAACTGCGACACGAGTATCAGCAACAAATTCAGGCGTTAACTGTGGCACTTGAACCCAATCGAAACCTTCAACACAAAGCCGAGTCGGGGAGAAGAAAATGGTGCAAAGTAGCTGTGATGAACAAAATGGAGTAAATTATAGTGGTTAAATCGATTAATTAATTTAGAGTAGGTCATGTCAAAAATGGCAAAAGTATCCTTTTCTGTTATACATTATTGGTGAATATTCCACATTATTGGTTCACTTTCTTCCATTTTTTTAATGTCGCTCAAAAAGTTATAGTTTTGTTATCCCTGTTTCATAAACTATAGCCCAGTTTTGTGTACCCGTTACGAGTTATTGTCCCAAATTTTTACAAAATTTCAAATAAATAAGTAAACCAATGGTAAAAAATATCTCGACTACTATCCATTTATATTTTTTATACATATGCAAAAGGGTCAATACATAAAATCAAAAACTCCAACCATGCATAGAGGTTAAGTAGCATCAAACGTTTTCCGTTTGAATCAGGTTAGTACGAGGACTAGAGCTACATGGTTTTATCCTTTGTGACTTATGGTGAAAGTTGGTTTCCCTTTTATCGGACTGTTGGCGAAACTACGCAGCAGCAGCATGAGCATTATAAACGGCATGCATCCACAGGCCCTCACTTCTTCATGATAAAGGTCGCATTCGTATTATATTGGGTTCATTTTGGTTCGTTCATCGTTCACTACTGTCCTCCTCTTTCAATTCATACTAATTCACAGCAGGGGTTCAAAGTGAGAATGTGTCTCATTTAAATGCATGGGCATTGTGTTGAAGGAGAAAGTTGGAAGTCAGGAGCTCAAATGGTACGATGCATAGGATTAAAATTTTTGCTCCAAGGATTTGCTTTCCCCAGGTTTAGTAGCAACCCATCCAAAGGACCGACCCTTCTTACGTTCCACGAGACAGAAAAGTGTACGCTCAAGGAGCGGAAAGTTAAGCGCATTCCGAGAGTTCATGCCTCAAAGAGTCGTTTAGTTTGATGGCTTTGAACTGTATGGTGAAGTAGGATACATGATATACATCTATGTTCAGTACATATACATCCAGCAGAGTTATATTTATGACTGGCTTTTTGTGAGTATCAGTAGCTAAAGTAGCAAGAATTTTTTCTTTGTTAAAGTCTGGAATGCAATGCAACGCAACGCTCAACTCTCTGTAAAGTTTTGTCTATGAATTTAATATTGAAATATGAGTGTCATGTTTATTTTCTCTATTTTATTTCGAGCTAATTGCTATTGAAATTTGAGAAGGCTTTAGAACATTAGATAGACTCGTTTCGACTGCCTCGTTTCTTTTATCCATTTGCCTTTAGTTTCAAGTATCCTTTCAATACACTTAATTTCAGCCAGGATCGCCTTTGAATATCAAGTGCTTGCTTAAAACGTAAGTAATATCGTTGCAAAAATTGAGCAACGAACCAGGGTCAGGGGCGGCTGAGTAAGTATGGATTGTGGGAATGCCGAATGCTTGCGAAAAACTCGGAAAACTGCAATCGGGCCGGGTGTTCCAGGCAACGTTTCTCTACTGCCCTACACGTGGTCGTCGTTTGAAAATATTTCTTAGAGATTCGCACGGGTGTCTGCCTAACCAGTTTACTCGCATGTCGTCTACGTGTCATTAAAATGGAGACTGCTTAACTAGCAAGATGTGGAATTTGGATGTGATAATAGTTCAAAGAGGATCCAGTTGACCATCAGTCACGTAGGCACTTCTGCGAGCAGCGGTCAACCAGCCAGCGCAATCATGGCGACAACCAGTAAAGGACTCGCAACTTCCCCACGGATTTCAGCCTCGTTATTCTCCAAAATGTTCTTTATGTAAGTTCACTATACGTATATTTTCTTCAGGTGGTGAAAGTACGTGTACATTCATATACCTGGAAATTTTCCTTAGTTGGTTGTATCCACTTTTTAACGTGGGGGCAAAAAAGGATTTGGAATATGAAGATTTGTACAATACACTTCCGGAGGACGAAGCCACTTTGCTGGGAGAACGGTTGATGCTGGAATGGGAAAAGGAAATGGGTGCAGCAGCATCCATTTCTGAATCAAAAGAAAGTGAGCCTAAAAATTCGAAGGGCAAGTTTGTTCCAAGCAAACCAAGTTTGTTCAAGGCGTTGGTCCGAATGTTTGCAAAAGAGTGGGTGATTGTCGGAATCTTCTTGTTTTTAGAAGAATGCCTCGCAAAGTAAGAGATCCTTGCAGCAAAATAATTATAATTATGTAATTAATCTAATCCACATAATTTGTAGAATTGCACAACCAATTTTCTTGGGATACCTGCTGCGATACTTTAATGGAGAGTTTGACGAGAAACAAGGATATTTCTTTGCTACTGGTGTTCTCCTGTCTGTGATGTACTATACAATTTCTCATCATCCTTCATTCTTTTCTATTGTCCACCTCAACATGAAAATTAGGGTTGCCTGCTCTGGATTAATATATTATAAGGTATCACTGATAAATACTTGTGGATAGTATGAATCTTGCACCTTCGTGGTGTAACATAATTTACTTACATATAATCAGAATTAATTATCTAAATCAATTTCTCATAATTGATTATTTATGCGTGCCATTTAATTATGTAGACACTAAAGCTCAGTCAGGCAGCGTTATCAAAGACGACGGTTGGGCAGGTGGTCAACCTCTTGTCCAGTGATGTTGCTCGATTCGACTTCTGTCTGAATTTTGTGCACTATCTCTGGATTGGACCGGTGCAGTTACTTCTTTCAGTATGGATTTTGTGGGGTTACTTCGGACCAACTTGCTTCTCTGGGGTCATCTTCCTCTTGTTATTTACACCGTTTCAAAGTAGGCCAACACCACGAATTAAGGGATACAAATCTTTGCCTACTCTCACCCATTTCTTTGTCTCAACAACTTTCAGGTGTGATGGGACATCTTTTTAGTAAACTTCGGTTGAAAGTAGCTGGAAAAACGGATAGGAGAGTCCGAATCATGAATGAAATCATTAATGGCATTCGTGTCATTAAAATGTATGCAAAATTTGTATAGGGAAAAGTTGTTGCATGAATGATTCTTAATAAGTAAGTCGTTATTTTTGCAAATAAAGGTACGCTTGGGAAATTCCTTTCTCCAAAATAGTTGCTGAATCCAGAGAGTAAGATTAACATTATCAGACACATCTACGAAAGTGTGATTATAATTGTAACGGTGTTCTTTGTTCTTATTAGGGACGAAATAAAATCGATCGGAAGACAAATGTCGCTGCGAGCTCTAAACTTGGGACTCTACTACGTCTCGTCGAAACTGATAATATTTCTTACGCTGGTGGCCTATGTTCTGACGGGAAACTACTTGACGGCGGAGAAAGTGTTCGTAGCAATGGCCTTATATCAGAATGTACGCCTGCTAATGACAATCTTCTTTCCTTGGGGAATCAGTTTTTTGGCAGAAACCAAAGTTTCCCTCAAACGAATTGAGGTGAGTAAAACCGCAGAGTGACAGATGGAAAGAAATTTAAATCACATATAAATGAAAATCTTTTTGTTCGCCTTTAGAATTTCTTGTTACTTCAAGACTATGTGCCACCTAATAGAAGTGGGTGCAAGACATCCGCCGGAGAAAGTGACGGTGACAATGAAATTTGTCTGGAAATGACGAACGTGAGTGCCAAGTGGAGCGAAAACTCGGATCTTACGCTCAACAAGATTGATTTGACGGCACCCAAGGGAAAGTTAGTTGCTGTAGTAGGGCCAGTGGGTTCGGGGAAGGTTAAAACTCTATTTGTGTCTATGTGTCCAACATATGTAATTACACGATAACACCTCGGGATGAGCAATTTGGTATTCCTTTATGTAACAGAGTTCCCTGCTGCAAGCCATTTTGGGTGAACTACCAATCTTTTCTGGTGCAATAACGGTGAAAGGACGCATCGGATATGCATCTCAAGAAGCTTGGGTTTTCAGTGGGACTGTCCGTGAGAATATTTTATTTGGGCAGAAATATAACGCAACTTGGTACCAGACTGTTGTTGATGCTTGTGCACTTCGAAGCGATTTTGCACTGATGACATTTGGTGATAAGACTGCGGTGGGAGACAAAGGCATGACTTTAAGTGGAGGTCAAAGGGCGCGGATAAGCTTGGCAAGAGCAATCTATGCAAATGCTGACGTCTATGTCCTAGACGATATTCTTAGTGCAGTGGACACAGAAGTTGGAAGACACCTGTTCCAAAGCTGTATTGGGAATCTGCTTCGTAATAAAATTTGTGTCCTCGTCACCCACCAACTGCAACACTTGACTAAAGCAGATGAAATTTTACTACTGAACAATGGGAGCATCGTCGCAAGAGGTGATTTTTGGAGTTTAAAGAAACGCGATGTTAATTTTTCTCAAATACTTGAAGAGAAAAATTCTGTTGGATCCGCTGAGAATATTCTAAAAAGCGAGGAAAGGACATCAAGCGTTGGTCCCAGCCTAAGCGGGTCACTTGTGTCCGTCAATAATGGCTGTAGAAATCGTAAAGAAAGTCTTATCAGTGTTGACGACCAAACTCTGTACGTTATTATGCAGTACTCGTTATAAATGTCCAATTGTTACTTATTAATGAATTGTTGAATATGCGATATATTTAGAGTTGAGAAAGAAGGAGACGAAACAAGGATGTCTGGGTCCATCGGATTTAGTACGTACTGGAAATACTTGAGGATCGGTTCCAATTTATGCCTCCTTTCCTTTATTCTATTTTCAAATCTACTAACCCAAGCTCTATACTCTGGATCTGATTTTTGGCTCCAATTTTGGTAATTAAAACCTACAGTGCGACTTGATTTAGCCCGAGTTAGGGACACATTGGCTTCTAAATTTGCGTCACGCGACCAAACTATTACCACTCCGGTAGTCGTATGACGGACATACGATTACATAACCCCTGACTCGGGCTAGAGAGCACATTAAAATGGGCCTGCCTATTACATGCAATTTGCATGATGCAAATATGATTTTATTTTAATAAAGTTTTCAAAATTCGTAGGATAAAAGCTGAGCAGGAAATTGAGAAGGAAAATCAATTCTTTGAACTTTTGGAAGTATTTAATTCATCAACGACTGATTTTACGTCCTCGCTCAACAATTCGATAAATATTACGAATCCTGAGGCTGGGTTGGACTTGACAAGATCGGAACAAATCTCAATTTACACATTTTTAATTATTGCTCTTTTTCTGATGACGCTGGTTCGGACGATCGGATTTTTTAAGATTTGCATGAGATCTTCAATAGCCTTACATTTGCAATTATTTTACGGTGTTTTAAGAGCCCCCATGCTATTTTTTGAGTTGAACCCTGTAGGTGAGTTATCCATAACACTTGCATATTTATCAAATATTTTCAATTGATGCGTTTGAATACTTGTAATTTAGCATTTATTATTTATATTGGTTTAACGATTAGGCAGAATTTTGAATCGCTTTGTGAAGGACATTGGGACAATAGATGAGTTGCTTCCATTTACCTTTTTTGATACTCTTGAGGTATATTTTAAAATCATCTGAACTCTAGGTCTTAAATTTTCCTATAAATATGCATGAATTAAAATATGTGTATTTATAGGTAGGACTGCAAGTACTTGGGGTGATCGTAGTCGTCAGCATCATTGACGCAGTATTTCTTATTCCCTCAACAATAATTGCAATCCTTTTCTACTTTATTCGCAACCATTTTCAAATAACAGCAAGAAATCTAAAACGGCTAGAAGGAAGTGGTATGCAAATACTTTTTTGAAAATGATATGATCATATAGATGCTGAATTATTCATTTTCATAGCACGGAGTCCCGTATTCAGTCACTTGAGCACCTCGTTAAATGGACTCACAACAATTCGAGCATTCCAAACTCAAGATCAATTTCGAAAGGATTTCAATGCACATTTGGATCTTCACACTGCAGTATTTTATTTATTTAATGCATCTGCTCGCTGGCTAGGAATTGTTGTCGATTGGATATCAATCCTCTACATTACGTGTGTCACATATGGAGTCATAGTGTTGGGACTTGGTAAATGTTTATTTCTACATCGGAACCTTATGTTGAGACTGAGGATTTTCGTGTTTTCACACATTGTAATAAAAATATCGCTTGTGTGCATATGCAGACGGACCTTCTGCGGGTTTGGCGATTTCTAGTGCCATGACCTTAACAAGTTGGTTTCAATGGGGTGTCAGGTAACATAAATGTAATAGCTTTTTACACTTTGATAAACTAAAGATACAAAATTTTCAACTTATGCAATAGGCAGTCTGCTGAATGCGAAAATCAATTGGTGGCAGTTGAACGTGTGGTTGAATACGCCGACATTATATCCGAAGCACCGTTAGAATCATTCCCAGGTATCCTAATTTGATTAGTAAAAGACAAGTGTAATTAAAAATATATACTAATTGACATGGAACTTATTTATCTAATTTCCTGGGCAGAACGAAAACCTCAAAAGAATTGGCCACTGAAAGGTGAGATTGAATTTCAGAACGTGTATGTCAAGTATGGATCTGAAGAAGAACCCTTTCTAAAGAATATCTGTTGTACGATTCGACCTTGCGAAAAGGTACCACAAACATATTTAGATACAAAAAAATGCATACGAATAGAGTTAATTCTTAATTGTCATTTAAGTAGAAAATCAAAACCATACTAATTTGCATTATGTTTGCGTGTTTTAACAATTAATTCGACAGGTCGGAATAATAGGGAGGACCGGAAGTGGAAAGACCTCGTTGATCTCTGCCCTATTTCGACTCACGGAACCCTCCTCTGGCAACATAATCATTGATGGTGTAAATGTTTTACAAATCGGACTCCACGATCTACGTTCGCAAATTGCCATCATTCCACAAGATCCAATGCTGTTTGTGGGCACCCTCAGAAAGAATCTCGACCCTTTTGATGAGTACGCAGACTCTGAAATTTGGGACGTTCTTCGTGATGTCAATTTGTTTGAAGTTGCAAAGGATTTCCACTCTGGTCTCGACGCAGCCGTTAACGAAGGTGGATCGAACTTTAGCGTTGGGCAAAGGCAATTAATATGCATGGGCCGGGCGATTTTAAGAAAAAACAAAATTTTAATACTAGACGAAGCCACTGCGTCTGTTGACAATGAAACGGATGTATTGATTCAAAACACTATTCGAGAAAAGTTTGAAAAGCATTGCACAATAATTGCTGTTGCACATAGATTGCACACAGTAATCGACTCTGACAGAATCATGGTACTGGAAGCAGGGGAAATTAAGGTAACGCATTTATCAATAGAATAGTGTATGCAATCTTGAGTATCTAAAAATGAATGATTACTTGTTTTTGATTTTAGGAATTTGATGAACCTTACAAGTTGTTGCAAAACACATCGGGTGCATTTTTCCACTTTGTTCAAGAAACGGGAAGAGATATGGCGCAAGAGTTGATGAGGATCGCTCAGGAAAGGTCGAGCTTACATGCTCGATGAAGACGTGATCAATGTAATATTTTTTATTTGACAAATTATTTTTGACTAAATTATTGTTAAGTAGGTACTGTAAATAAAAGAAGTCTTAATTTTAGCGAGCATTTGTCTTATCAATCTGTTGCTTTCGAAATTCCTGATCTTTAGCACGTCTGGATTCCACTAGGAAATATATTCCAATGCAGAGGCCAATCATTAGAAGAACTGATATAGTGACGTGCAGAGCTATCATGACTTTACTACTGCAAGGACACTTGAACCCATCATTTTCTTGATCTCTATCGTCATCGTGTTGTTGTGCACCATTTTCGGATTGTTTGACAACAACGGTGCCTAGAAAATCTGAAGACATTTGTAAATTTTCCACCGTCTGCATTATTATTTCTCGTCTAATAGGAACAAATATAACATAGCATTATCATTAAATAGAAATGAGTGGTTGGAAATGCAGAATGATTTTTAGATACCAGTATTTCGTTGGTTAACAGCCCCAATTTATTGCATAGACTTCTATGTTTTGTTTGAGTATCGTCCATTGATTGTATTTCTCCATGAAAGTTTTATTTTTTCATGAAATACAGTGTACATGGAAAATTAGAAAAAATCTCCATTACTCACTAATTCTCTAGCAGTGCACGAATGACGAAGGCTTCCCAACACGGACGATGAGACGACGTAAATATGTAAATGTAAGTACAGAATCCATTCACGAAGTGAAAAAAAGCATGACAAACTTGCATTCACAGTTTCTTTGTTAACTTATTTTTAATTAAAAATAATTTATATATTGTCCATTTTATTCGCCTAAATTTATAAATTAATTGTACGATTATTGTATTAATAATTACGTATAAATCGAGCCATTACTAAACATTAGCTTGCTATAAAAATATTATGTACTAACTTCCTAATTCTCTCCTTGTGATTTCTCTTATTTGTGTTACAATGCGTCGAAATTTGGCCACGGCATCACTCAGCGAGTTTACTGCAGTGGAATTGCTCGAAAAATTATTGGGAGTTATTGTCGCGTTTTCTACTAGTGAATTCGCAGTCGAATTTCTTTGCCTGGTCGTCACACCCTGCTCATCCATCATCACGGGGGGAGAACTGTCCCCTCCCATTCCTGAGGGAGTTTGTGGCGACGGTGTGTTGTAGCCCCAGCCCACGATATCGTTAGACCAACCCCACCCAAAGTTGGGATTAGCCCATGCGTTGGGCACAACCGAATTTGTCACCAGACCTGGTTGCTCAGTCCGCTGCTGTTGGTCTTGTCCAAAATAGTTCCCTGGGCCGTTCGGACTATTTTGCTGAATGATTTCATTATTATTTGCATTACTGAAGCCATTGTTAAAGCCATTGCTAAACCCATTGCTGAAACCATTGTTGAAACCGTTGTTGAAGCCATTATTGTTGGGCGTTATGGCGTTGTTCACATTGGACCTTTGGAGAAATTGCGTTGTTCTCTGTCTATTGATGGGCGGCGCAATATTGGTGTTTCTATTATTGCCACTATTATTATCATTACTGTTGCCACTGTTGAGAGCCTGGTTTGCAGTACTAGGTTTCATTGTTTGTTGTTGCCGTTGTTGCAGTAAGCGTGCTCTTATATCTGCAATTTGTGGGTCTTGAAACGCTTTGCTGTTGGTGTTTTGTTCCTGACCCTGGTTTTGGCTCGTTGTGGCTGCTGCAGGTGTTGGGTTGGTCGGGTTTTGAGGAAATTGTTGAGGGGTTTGAAGTGGTTGGAAATGCTGAGATGCGATGAAATTACTTGGTATCTGGGTTCAAGGATCGTAAATAAGAATAGAGTAAATTTCCAAAAATGTCAGCATATTTCGTCTGCTAAATTACTATCGAAAAATGAATATAGATGTATTACCGGGTTGAAAATGTGGTTATACGCGACTGGTGGGAAGGGCAGGGAGTAGTACGGAAGTGGAAAACCGAATCCGGGAGTTGGTTCTGATTTTATTATGAGGACAGCACTGGCGATAAACAGTGCGAATAGTGGTGGACCCTCACTTCCACCATTGGTTTCCAAAAGAAATCCCATTTTTGGGATTGGTCGTCTCTGGCAAAGCCAATATGACGAATAAGGTCTCCCAAATTGGCACATGACATTTATAACCTCTGTCTGTGAGTTAGACAATTCTTGCTAAACTACGAGAATAGAATTGCCTCTGTGTGCAAAGACAATCGCATCAAAATCAAAGTTATCGAACCATACAGTAGTACAATAGCGCAAAGATAGATAGTTGACATGCATACGATAACTCTGCGAATCAAAACTTAATTTTGCATACATTAAAGGAAGTAAATACATATAAACACTCTTTAAATCAAATCTTGATTTAGTTTGTGCAGCAATCATTGCTGAAAATAAGCAATGGCGTCTGTATAATAAATATGTATCTCTTAAGGATCACATCATATGTATTTGTTGAGAAACTATTTTCTACTAATTAATATTTAACTAATATCCAGTTCCGGATAATAAGTGTAAACATTTGCTTAATACTTTATTGACTGTTAATTGAGACATACATAAACAATCACAATTGTATAACACACTTGAGTATTTGTGACTTTAAAAAAATAATACTGAAAAATAAATATCTTACATGTAATATGGGTTATATAAACGGGCTAATTATTTGTCATAAAGAATGGCATTGGAAGAGTATGGAAACATTTCAAATTGACCAATATTTTGAATTTCTACACGACTAAGTTCCTCGATAAACTGAATCTTGGTATCCTGGTCTTCTTTGAGGCGATCTTGATAAAGTCGTACAAACCAGAGGCCAAATATTTGGTAGAGAAAGCCGACCACGCCAAAGGAAGACACAAATGCTCGGTCGGCCGTGAAAAATACTGCCGTAATGAAAAATGCTGCTCGAATGATAATGATGACTAGGCTTATCGTGCACCAGCGGCGAATTTTTTGATGAGATCGCTGAAATCGTATTATTGTATTTATTATCATGTACGCCCTTGTCTCATCCAATGGATCCAATCCAACACGAACATTTTAAAACGTTTGTATTGTGAGGGATACACAAAAATTCTCAACATATAAATACTTGATACTTGACCCACCTCTTGAGCAGCGTATAGAAGGAACCTCGCGAGGAAAAAGTACAACACGCAGATGAGCATTAGAATCAGCATTATCAGAACAAATGGTCCTCCTGCAAAACAAAATATTCTTGATATTTGTCGTATTAGCTCTTAACTAAGTATTAATTATGAAATGGGGTTGGCTCAAATTGAAAATTATCTATGTAAATTCATTTAAAAATGTGCAATTAACTCGAATCCATAATTATATTTCTAGCGTGCAGAGATTAATGTAATTTGTGAGTAGAAAGTGAGTAGCAAAATTACTATTACTATCAACTAACTCTAACTAAATAAGAAATCATTGTAGTCAAACTCATGGAAGTTTTCGCACATTCTTTGTTCATCAGGAACTTGAGCATTGGGTGCTGAACTGAATTCACAGACGGAATTGTGCTTATAAGTTTAAGTACGTTTAAGTATTATTATGTACAACCTCCGCACATGATGCAAATATAATTTATTAACAACTGCATATAAAGAACTGCAAAGTAAGTACAACGAAGAATGAGTGCTAACTGTGTGATGTGATATATGTACATATGTACATACGTAATGCGAGTAAAGAATCACAAAAAACGAGCTAACGATGCCGTAAAGCGTAAAGCTGCCGAGGAGCCATTGTTAGCGACAAGGGTTTAATGAGTGAAATGTCCTTACGTCCAAGGGCAAATAAAGCCGCAAGTTCTGGATGTTCATCCTCATTTTTATGTACTTTTGCTTCCAAACGGTCTCCGTGAGTTATGGTCAAGAAAACTAGGAAAAATATGGATATGAACGATAATACCGAGGCGACCTGAAATAAGTAATAATCATGTCAATTCTTCACCAACTAGGACGGATGAACTAGTATTTGCGAGACATGGAAATATTTGCCAATTTTTCTTACAATGTCGGTCGTTGCAATTACTTGAGATCCTTTTCTGAAAAATCCTGTACTCAACATTGTTCAAGAGTTTGTTTGAGTGATTAGATTAAATTTCTGATTAAATCTGCGAGTCGTGACATTTATTTTTGTCATAATTTCTGGTTGTATGTATAATTGGAGGTACGCAGATAATATTTACATTTCCACTTAATTGACACATTGCACGTCGTAAATTAAAAGTTGATTCTTCACGTAAACAAACACTGACGATTGTTTGAATATCCTGCCGACATTATTAAAAGTTTAGTTATTCAACACTGGCAATGACTAAATTGTAGTAGATCCAAAAACAATTCGTATAGTACGACAAATCGTACAGATATGACAAATAAAAATGTGCAATAAGAATAAAAACAAGTCACTCGCTGACACTGATCCTGAGTTTAACTTATCTGCGTGATCTGTTTGTTATCAAATCCGCAAAGTGCAAATGCATAACTACAATAAGTCTGTGCACTAACATGCTTATCTGACAATGCTTATGCATGTATTGTATAAAACTAATATTTAGCTAGCAGATAACATGCGCACTAACAAGAGCACGCACTTATTCTTTCCTGCAAAGAATTTTGCAACCAGCACTATTGCGCTGCACGAGTTATTGCGAATGAATTTGCATGCACCAGTAACGTTGGAGCGAAGAAATAACTTCCTACACACAAATTCACTTTAATGCTAATAAAATAACCATCTAAAGATTTACGTCGTCGTGCCGTCGTGCGGTTGATGGTTGTTATATGCAGACATTCATGATGACCAACTTGCATACGTATAAAGAAGCAATCGTATCGCATTGTGCTAATCGTGCTGCTAACTCTGTGTCTAGCTTTTGCCCATTGTTTTTTTTGTTTTGCTTAATAAGGTACATATGCATAATGTGGTTTCAAAAATACACGTGAGTCAATCTCATGTCGTTCCATTTCAATTTCATTGCTGTCAGTCATGGTGGTGGTGTATACATACATATTTATTAATAAGAGGTGATGCCACTTTATGAGACGCTATGTCCGTCCGTCCACTTTCGAACGTTAAAAGTCTTGTACTTGTTTTTATACTGTTAGCATGTGTGACAAGTTCTTTACCCAGCTTTGTAGGCCACATCCTCATAAACATCAGATTATGCCAGAAATGCTTATATAGTGAAGGGGTGCAGGGTCGCTTAAAACACACGACTTGTGATCACTCCTAGACCCAGAGGGTGTGGCCAAAAGTGAAGTAATACGAGTTTGTTTTTGAGAGATATGCATGTTTTCTATTCGAATTAGAAAAAGAGTATGAGGAATTGGTTTCACCCCTTAATTATAACTGTTTAATGTGATTTATTACCATAATCGAAAGCATATACCGCCGTCGCATCTTCGTAATATTGCTTTTTGCATTTAATACCTGATCTACATGAGCACATATGTAGGTACATCTATAATATCCTACAAATGGATGTTGGGAGTGTACTTGTATGTACATAAATCCAGCATTTAAAACGCTTTTAAATTTATTAGTGTTTGTATGCTTTGTAGAGTACGTTAGGTACATATATGTACATACGAATACGTGTAGTATATTGTCGTTGATGTAAATTACTATCCATGTGTCAACTGTGGTTTCAGTTTCTAGTTTTGTAATGATATAAAAATAAAACGATGATTCAGCTGTACCGAGAGTACCGACAAATAAGGAATATCTCCCTTAAATCGGGTGCATTGGTGTTGATTGATATGGCATATCTCATTTAATTTAGAAATTGAATATGTTTAAAATATTTTTCATGCAATGGTTATACTGTTTTACAAACTTATGGCCTGAAAACAGCTTATCTACTTGTTTAGTAATTATGGCTTGGATTACTAGTCATTGTTGTACTATTTTGATCACTATCAGAGCAAATTAACAATATCCGGTCTCATATTTACTTAGAACTTTTAAACCTTAGTTAGGACACACGTTAGTAATAACTTATCTCAAAATGCCTCATCCTCTGTAGGTATCCGGATATATTTGGTCTCATCTCATCCTCATTTCTGAATTTGTTTGTACACTTATATTATTTAGTATAGTCAAAGTACGTAGAGTATGTAGGGCAAAAAATCGAAAAGCACCGATGATGTGATGTCACAAATGAAGCATTTCAAAAATTGCTAATAATTACGTGTTAAATAATCCAAGTTGTTTGTTTGTTTTATTCAATGAGATATATAGTAATATAAAAGATACGGGTTTTACTCGTGTGCAAAATTCCTGAACCTGTTCGCATTTTTTCTTCATAAGAATGTGGATGTCCTTGAGTGAAAGCGGATATTTATATTAGGATCAATTGGAAATACTGGAATGCAGAAAAATACCAATGTTATCAATATCATATGTACTTAATGTGCAGCAAAATCTATACAAAATTTTTTTAGACGAAACAATTAGAGAATTTTTTTACCAAAAGTTACTTTCACTATGAAGCACAATATGTAGCATATTACATAAATTCTTAATCTACAAATATGCATAAATGACGCCAGTAATAAGACTGAAGCCAGTTATTTTTCTTTTTCGTTGTTTGCAAAGTGCAATTTATCTCAAAATTTTAGTCATAAAAAAAATTCATTACTTTCCTTTCATAATTAATATGTATTATCGCTATTCTAATGTTGATCCTTTGCTTTCTTTATATGCTATGTAATCCTTCATATTGAAAAATGAAATTTCAGTCTCATGATCCACCCCCTGACTTGATAAGTTCATCCCCGGCTTTAAGAGCAGTTTTTCATCATCGTGACAGTTTATCAAAGGATCATTCGTCTTGTGTCCAAAGCGATGCGTCTCAACCTAAATGCAAAAATAAGAGGATAATCATTAACCAGAATAATTTTTTTGTAATTTTTTTCACCTTTAATGTATCGAATCCTTTATAGCTGAGGAATGGCGGTGGTAATTTGGCATGCGGCAAGGATGCATATATTATTTTGAACAAGTCCTCCGTCGTAACTAAATTTAGATCAATTTTGTGAATAACGAAAGGTTTCCAATTTGTGTGCACGAAACTACGAATTAGACGAATTGTTAACGTTGCTTCCTTTTTGTCCTTGTCAATTTCCATTTTTATTATCCTCTGGATAGGAATTGAGTCTACAATACGAAACTTTAAATCAGAACAATGCAACTTGTATTACACAAGTAGAATGTTTGTATTAAAAAAGCCGGTGAAAACAGATGGTTACATGAATGAAAACTGACCCAGATTGCCCAAGCAAATTAACGAAATAACGAGCTTCTGAACACTTAACAGTATTAAGAGTTTCTAAAATTGATTTTATTCTCAAGTGTTGTGCAAATTGAGTTCGTAAGTCTTTCCAAGCATTTAGGTAATACCGCAAGCATGCAAAATACAAAATCCCGGCTTTATTACTAGATTAATAACCGACTTAAAACTAATAACATACGATGTACGTTCACAATAATTATAGTTATGGCGTTTTCCTTCATATAGCTGTTCAGTAATTTCCATGACCAAAACTTTGACCTCGACCCATTCCACCGTTTGAACCACGTGGTGGCATACCTGTACCTGGCATTTGGTGAAAATGCGATGCACCCTAGAAATAGACAAAATTATCATTACAGTTAACTCGCAGTTTGGCATATTAATTAATTCAGCGAATCTTACAGGATGAGGTAAGGAATTCAAAGGGACAGATTCTGCAAGGGAACCCAGCGGTTCTTTCGGCCTAGGAACAACCAAATTGCCGACTCTTTCTCCATCAGCATCCTTCCCATTCAAAACTGCCAGTATCCGTTGTTTTAGCTCATCTGCGTCTAAATTGTGTTTTCAATTCAGATTAAAATTCATTTTAAGAGTAGGGAGGATTTACATTTATAAATATATATATATATATATGCACAGGTTCATTCATACCAGGATTATTCAAAAGATCATCATCTTGTTTGCCCTCTGTGATTATATTATTCGTTCTGTTCTCGAATGCTTTAAGTTTTCTCCTATGATCTTGAAGGAAAGTGATGAGCAGAGAATATTCTTTATCAGTTAATGCCTTCTCGTCAATTAACTAAACAGGTGACAGTGAAATATCATTAGAAAACAATAATCTAATCTAATGAACATATGGTATTTTTCGCTTACACTCCTCAGGACGAGTCGCATATTTTCAGGAATGCTTCCAACTTCTTTCCGTTTGATCTTCAAATATCGTTCCCTGATTAACGTGTACGCAGCAGATAAAGGCATATTCCGATGTTCTATTAGTCACACCATAAAACATTAACAATGTTGCTGATCCTGTTTGCATATCAAATGAATTCTCATATACCTTCTGCTTTCACACATCCACGAAGGACATGGACACTCACACTTCTGTGTGTTTCATTATCAGGTCGGATTACAACAGCAAAAATTGTTCCTAATAAAATATTATTCAAATCAAGACGTTTCGAAAAGCATTAGATGTTAAAATGCTTACCCGTAGATGCGATATTTTCTATAAACGCTGCCAATTTTACATCTGGCTTTGGAAACATGATATCTACTTTCAAGTGAAACTCCTTAATGGCTTTCTCAATCATTTCTGCGTATTGTCTGTAAAAATTGCATGGATAGACACACATAGTTAAAATTTAAATTAACGACAATAAGTAAATATGAGTGCAGCATTACTGTTGAGCTTTTGCTGTTACAATGATTTCGCAATCATTTGCATATTTCACACCGGGGGGACCACCTTCTTGGACTGGTTGTGCGTGGGTGGGTCTCTGTTGATGATGGGAGGGAGGCATCATTTCATCGGACATCCGACCAGCTGGAGGGGGGACCATTCTAGAATTAGGTAATACAACAGGATCCTCCCATGACTGCTCACTATATCCTCCTCCACCTCGATTGTCATAACTCGGCCCTCTGACAATACAACATAAAACAACGAAACAAATATATATAATACTCACATCCATAATTGAGCAACATCTCATTGAAGTATACAAATCTATTTATTATTATTATAATTACCCTCTCATTCCCATTGCCGGTGGACCATGCTGTTGAGGATACATTCCTTCGCCGCCACCCCCTCGACCTCCTCTCATTGGATAACCTTGACCCCCTCCACTTTGAGGTCCGTAACCACGCCCAACTCCACGGCCCATTCCGTACCCACCACCCATACCTCTGGTCTCTCCCCCGTAATAATTCGACATGACAAGCAGTATTAAAAAACAACACAATGTGTTAATTGGTACACAAACAAGTGATATATTTCAGCTATTTACTGTATAGAAATGCAATTCACTCCGTGTAAAAGTGAAATGCTAACTATTAAATTTGTATTGTACGTTATTTGTTTACTATTTAAAAATTCTAATTTAATAAAACGAAAAGCAAATCTGCCGAGAGAGAGATAGTAAAAAATTCGTAAGTAGAAACACACAGCAGAAATACGAGGGCACAAATTCAACAAGCCTCCACATACTCGATTTCGCTGTCTCACTTCACCCCCTCTTCGTCCCCTTCACTCGTTTCAATTCATAAGCGTTCTTTCTGTCTATTATTCATGTTCTTTCAAATTGTTGTAAAAATGTAGCAATACTTTCGTCCCCACTTTTTGAAGGAATTCATAGCAATTTATGGTTAAATAAATTAAAATCTTCCAATATGTAATTAAAACATAGGAAACTACTTATATAATTATTAATGCACTGCTTGTGTTAAGGTCGAATTTCGAACCTTGATTATTTATGCAAATGCACAATATTTTTGGAATGATATCAAGGCAATTAATGAATTATAATGATGCAAGTCTGGCTCTCAATAAAAACATGAAAAAATAACGTCACCAATACAATAATTGTTCTATAAAATAAGAGCACGGTAGATGGATAGAGGCATAATTAGAATAAGTATTAGCAAGTGGCTTAGTCAAGATGAAACATATTAACGCAATCGTCATATTGTTGGCCTGCGTCGTCTTTAGCCAGTCCCTGAGCCTTGATCAGGAGGACATTCAAAATATCAAATCGGATACGAAAAATATTTCTTCGGAGAAAAGTGGATCATTTTGGGGAAGTGAGGCTGCTGTGACAAATTCCAGTGACTGGGGGTTGGGAAACCTCCCCGTGGAACCGTGTGACACGAAAGATGCTACGAACCAGGTAGATTTTGCAGAACTCATGTATTTGAATATGCTTCCACCCTGCGAAGAAACTAAAACTGGACACTGTGGAATCAGAAAGTATCAAAATTTTACCCTCGTTTCAAAATTTGCCACAAAAAATTACAACCAACAATTTCGGGTTCGGGTTCACTTGGTGGATAAACATTTTGGATTCGAAACAGCCCTGTGGCCCGTAAGTTTTCCCCTTGTTTCACATAGGCATAAATCTATCCGATTAATGAGATAATGTGTTTTATTAAGGAATTTGGAGCTTGTCGACAATTTTTCAACATTACTTGTCCTCAAGAAAAGGGAATTGTACATTCTCATATAATCAGTGAAATTCCTAAAGAAATCCCTCCCTTGTCAACCATTATTAGAGTTCGACTTGTTAGTGTGAATGAAAAGGACGAAAGGAACATTGCGATCTGCAGACAAATCAAACTTCACATTATTTGATGAAAAGCCGTATAGATTTAAGGTTTTTATATGGTTTTTACATGGCAGGCTGAAAAATAAAAATTGCACACAGACTAAACTTGGTTTTGTTTTGCCATATTTTGCTGGATATATTTTTTTGCGTGAATACGTGTGTGATTACATGAGCGTATTCAGATTAAAAAACTTTCCATCCGATTATTTCTGTTTGCGTTGCATACATATATGTACACGTATTATTATACACACTCACTCTTATGAATTCAGTACGAGCGAAGCTTGCGTGTATATATGCCAAATAAATAGGTGATTGTAAAATGTGAAGTGCAATTTGCAAGGACAAATGGAATTGTAGCATCACCTTGAACTTGTAAGTACAAGCAATGAACTAAACCGTATATGTTGTTGGCAGCCAAATAGTCACAAAACAAAACTATACTTGTATTTTATTTCACATAATGATTGATAAGTAACTAATCAGCCATAGTTGGCCATTGACCACACCTTATACCCCTTACCATGCAATTTTTAATTGCATGAAATTGGTGGCGATGAATAATATGTATGGTGATATCATTGATAACCCCATACATATTATTCATCGGCTCAGCAGCAGCATTCACAGAATTAAATTCACCTCTTGTTGGTAAATATATATCAGGCTCTCGAACTTGGACTCATAATACAAACATCGACGACTCGTGTCACTTGCTGGCTTAAAATAACTTTGATCTTGCTTGCGTACATGAACACAAAACATCATAAGACGATTTTGGCAGACAGTATGCAACATTGTAATCTATCCATGTTACATGCATTCACTTACAAAATAAATATAAATCAGAATAGTATAACCAGCCAACAGCGTCAACGAATAAACTGAACCATCTCATGCTTTATGAGGATAATTTTCGTCAGCAGCACGGCACAATTAAATGTGATATACCAACTCAATTGTTATGTAATCCTGCAGTAAAGTAAAAGGGTGTACGGCTTGCAATTTACAATTCGCAATTCGCATTGCTAAAAAATACTAGACGGTCATCCATAATGAACAGAATATGCAATGTTGTTTCTTTTCGTGAATAATAATTTTGTTGGGTCTGTTATTGTACAAAATTCACCCAAATGTAATTATCGTAATAAGGACCTCTCCGGTTGACGTCTTGCTTGGATGGGACACACTTTCTGGCAAAGAATTGCAGATCCGAACAACACAAACCAGCAAAAAGCCTCATTTCAGCTTTAGCTCAGCCAAAGTAAACGTGTATATTTTACTTATACTTTGCAACCTGAGATTGAGCTGATCAAAAGTAATTCACTTTCTCTCTCTGCAATAATTATATCAACGTGGAATGTCATTGCGTAACTCGTTACATTTAATACGATAATTACTGCAGCTCCCTTCGCCCCCTTCCCCGTCGAACGAGACAGGATTGCAGCAGCACAAACCTGTAAACTTTGTTGCTGGTAAATATTAAATATCATTAGTAAAGTAACAATTTTGTTTGAGGCTGAACTTGATAACTTGACTTTTCTACTTCCGACAGTAAAGTCAAGAATGAAGTTGGGATCGAGAGTGAGAGTGATTACAGTTTGTTATTGGAGGGAGTTAATACAGAAACGTTGTTAAAAGTTGCGTCATTATTTACAAAAGTTTGACAACGTTTTGTATTACGCACTGACGACAGAAGCAAACTAATTGGAGAAATGACCATCAGAGTATAAAAGCACTGATTCTCCCAGTTGATGAATTGGAACCGGAAGGAAGTTAAGTTTTCTGGATTGTTGAGCTCTAACACTTAGACTCAAGAGGTATTGTAAATTGTAATGTAAAATTTACATTGTAACTACTGAGTTATTTGTGAGTCGCAATGTCGCAAATTGTGATTAGACTGACAAATTTGAATATTATGATTTCTGTTTAGCCATTATTATGGACTCTTTCATCAGTTTATTTGATCCTGGAACTTCGGATGAGCCAGGGGCATCCACTTTTGAGGAAGACAACAACAATAACAATGAAGGACTAGGAGAAATGATTCATGACCTACCTCCCGAGCCCCAACTTGGAAATATTGAGTACAAACTCAAACTAGTCAATCCTTCTCGCCAACGTTTCGAGCATTTAGTGACTCAGGTCAGTCTCATCCAACAATAATTCGATGTGTTGTAAGCCGACTCTGGTGTTTATGTGGATTTATACATGTTATATAGATGAACTGGAGGTTACGTGAAGGTCAAGGTGAAGCAATATACGAGGTAATTTGAGAGGAACAATACTTCTTTCTGCAGGATCATGTTTATTTGATCATGTTTAAACTAAACTTCTCAGTTAGGGGTGGAAGACTGCGGTCGGCTTAAAGGAATTTCAGTAGAAGACATGGCATCCAGCCTTAAGACACTCAACGAGATGGGGAAAAAGTTGGGCGCCACAGTATCGGTACTTCGGGAGTCGGTTGTTAATTCAGGGGTTACAAAACGAAGTACGAGGGTGGTGGCGGAAGTGTTAATAAGGAAGGTACCTGATGACCAACCCAGCTTAGAACTACGTGTGGCCGTGATGGGTATGGAGAACAGCGGAAAATCAACCATGCTTGGGGTTTTGACTCAAGGTGAACTGGACGATGGTCATGGAATGGCAAGGCTAAATATGTTTCGACACCTCCACGAAATTCAAACTGGTATTTTAAATTTCATTCTAAAAATAGAACTTAATGGAATTTGCTGCATCTCCTCGAAGCATGACATACATACACACATACGTTAATTGTTACATAACTACAAGCATTACTGTTATATATTTGTACGACTGAAATGGAATTCTCGCATTTGGCGGAATTCATAATTAGCATATCCCTAAACCATCAAAAAAATAATATAACATATTATCTATAACAAATACAATTATGTTTCTAAACAGGTAGAACGTCTTCAATTAGTCATGAAATGATTGGCTTTGACACTGAGGTACATTGCATGTATCATTTAATATGCATCTTTATTAATGTGCGGTATATTATATGATTTTTTATACATTTTTTTGTGTTTGATTTTTTATGTAGGGCCGGATTATCAATTATCAAGAAGGAAGTCCAGACACAATTTGTGAAATGTCGAGTAAAGTTGTGACCTTGATTGATTTAGCTGGGCACTCAAAATATTTAAGGACTACACTACATGGAATTACTGGATACTCTCCACATTATATATTCTTCGTAATTAGTGCATCTCAAGGGTTTACAAAAGTGACAATGGATCACCTCGCTCTTGCAGCTGCTCTGCAGGTACAAGTTTGAAATTAATGTGTGCGAATTGTTTTTATTTATTATTGTATTAGTACTTCAAGTAATTCATTCGTTCATTGATTACAGATCTCATTAGTTGTTGTTATTACGAAAATGGACCTGGTGTCTGAAGAAAAATTGGACGCCACAGTTGAAAATGTGATGGAGTACCTTTGCGGGATATGTCACAAAGAAGCTTACAGAATAGGAAACGAGGATGACGTTATCAATTTTGTTAGGAATCAACATTCAAATGAGAACGATGTGCCAGTTTTGTGCTTATCCAGTGTCACTGGCGCCGGACTGGATGTAGTCACCAAGCTTTTGCACTTTATGCAGCCTGGCTTAACCCCCAACGATCGGGAACGTATGGAAAAGGTATTACATTCTTGTGCCCATTTACATGGATTAAGTTTTCATTTGATTGTAATGCAAGTATATGATTATTAAATTATCAACACGATCCGCAGGAGCTACCAGTTTTTCAAATTGATGAAATATTTAGTATTCCACAAAAACGAATAATTCTGGGAGGTCTTTTAAAGCAAGGGGTTATCAAGGAGAGGACACCTTTATTGTTAGGTATATAAACATATTTTTAAAAAACTTTATACGAACACGGGTGCTCAATAAAATTTACATACTTGTAGGCCCATTTTACGACGGTACCTTCCTTCCTGTGTGCATCAGCACCATTAGACGCCATAAAACACCCTGTTTGATCGCAAAGGCAGGTCAAAGTATTTCCTTGAGTTTGGGAACAGATATCAAAGGTCTTAGAAAAGGAATGGTGAGAAAAGAAAACCAATATTTTTACAAAAACATATTTTTTTGAATTTTAAAGAAAATTCCAGTCCTCCATTTAAGAAGAAATTATGTAAAGTTATCTTATAGTTACAATATATTCGCAGGTGTTGGTGAGCCCTCAGTTGATGCCAAAAGCTACGTACTACTTCCAGGTAGCTTATTAGAACATTTACTTGATATCTTCTTGTGTTTGACGTATTTATTTGTTCTGTTGTTTCTTGTATAGGCGAGTATTTCTGTACTCTTCCATTCAACTGCTATCTCCAAGGGGTTCCAAACAACCGTTCACATTGGCAATGTGAGACAAACTACAAAAATTGAAGAAATATTATCAGTATCCAGAATTGCCACAAACGATCGGGCTGTTGTTCTGTTCCGTTTCATAAAGCACCCTGAATTCATTCAAGTCGGCTCTCAACTCTTATTTAGGGACGGAAGTACCAAGGGTCTCGGAACCGTAACTGACGTATTCCCCATCGAAATAGCATCACTGCCATAAGAGCGAACTGCCCATCAATGACTGCCAAGTTCAGTAAAACTTGAAATTATATCATTCACTTGTATATTTGTCCGTGATTGGAGTAAGGAATTATTTATTTTTGTGAGTGAAATTGCTTGAAATCTACCTACATACCTTGTAAAATTTGAATGAAAAAGTAGTGCAGTGAAATAAGAGATCTGTTTTACCTCCCTTAATTAATAAGTAATTTAGGATAAATGAGTTTAACATAGTACTTTAGTACTTGTGTAGTTTAATTTTCTTTCTTTGAAATGTTTAGTCAAGTTGGAATTGGATATCTACATATGTATGAAACTGGTGTTCATCCAATATCCAATTCCAACAGTAATGCCCAAAGAATGATAGTTTTACTGTTAGGATGACAATTATTAACGTACACACGCCTCGTTGTATATATAAAATATAAATATACTCGTTTTAAGTCAATTGAACTTCAAAGTAATAATCTCACACTTAAGAGCACATCATTTTTGTGGAGGGACTTGTTCCAAAGCATCCTGAATGGTATATGGTCTAACTCGTCCAGTTCGTACAAGGGCATAGTACACCAGATAAACTGCAATTTTTGCTGTTGGTACACATAGACTTTGAAACAAGACCAAAAAACCAAGTCCGTACATTAGTCCCAGAAATGCTAAAATTGGTTAAAAATGTAATTAGAATGAACAATTTTTTAATGCGTTATAAAATGGTTAAGGTAATCACCGAATGAAATCATGTACTCAATTCGTAAGATTGATGTCGACACTTTAATATCGGAAACATCAAACGGTTCTCGATCAGGCGTGATGGTTGGTGGGGGAACGTTAGTGATGTCGACTGCGGCGTATTCGTCGAATTGTTGTGTCCAATTTTTTTTGCGGGGGGGAATTTGATGGTACTCCTCGTTCTCATCAATATACGGGTAGCCGTGGTACTGCTGATTCCAAGAGTTGAAATCATCGTCGTATCGTTTTCTCTCAGAATGACTGTTTTTATGTGCTAATTTCGTGCCTCGTTCTGAATAACCTATCCGGTGGAGTCTTTGGTTTTCACGTGGAGACTGGTGGCGTCTCGTGTTATAATAGCTGTTAGACCTTGTCCCAGTAGTCAAATAGACTTGACCAGAATTCAACTCGTCATCATCACCGTGGTCAAGGAGGGGTTTATCCTCTCGAAATTTTCGTCTATGACCATGCTGATAGTACTGGTTCTCATCATTATTGCTCTGTGAGCCGGAATACTGATTGTAATGCTGACTAGGTTTAGATGGATGTCTCGAGGGTGTTGGTCGAGAACTCGATCGGTTTGGCGGGGGTGGTCGATGTCGCGAACTTCGAAATCCATACTTATCTGGTCCTCGAGATTTTGAACCTCGTATCACAAAAGTCAACAAGATAAACACTTCAAACAAAAGAATGCATTTCATTCTTCTGAAAATATTTTTTAAACAATTTTACTGTTTTCTGTTCATCATTACATACTTTTCACTAATCCACTTTAAAATTCACTCTAAACTGCTGTCTAAAGTCACCATCAGCCAACATTACGCTTCGTCGATGATGAGCATGCAGTGCACTGATACTAAATTAAGAACGTAAGGGCTTTTATTGGGTTTCCCAAGGTTTGCATTATGAAGGTTCCGTTACAAGCATTTGGCTGTGTGTATGTATCTACGTATGTATGTCTCTCCATATTACTAATTTGTATTGGACAACGAATCCGGGCGATGAATTAACGTGATTTCGTTAATTACATAATTATCGTACTCATAAAATTTTATTTTTACAGAAAAATCATTGCATTCCTCATTACTAAATTATTAACTGTGCAAATCTGCTGCACGTATGTACACATTCAACTTGATTCAACTAATTAAGTAATAACAACATAAAAAAACAATCTTGGAAAATGAAAAGTTTTCCATGAAATATTGGAAGTTGGGTTAGCCACGCAGCATGAGGTGTCACAGAGTTTTTTTTATTACTCTTCAACTTCACTGTCCTCATCGTCCTCGACGTGGTCTTCGGATTGTTGCCTCCGATTGTTCCCCTTGTTCTTCCCTTTATTTCCGTTTCGTCTCGCCGCATTCTTGCCACCGCGTCCTCCGCCATTTACTCTGCCGTCGTTTTTCAGCCCACATGCCTATTCCATCGTCATATGTACATAGTGGTTTATCAGTCATTTTTAGAATACATGGTGAAGACATGTGTACCTTGGATATGATCCGGGTCATGCATTTCTCGAATCGTTTGTATTCTTTGCAATTATTGGCAACCGAGAATCCATCACCTGCACATGCATAGCACTCCATGAAACTCAAACAAGCCTATGCTTTTCACATCGTTGTATTATAATTAGGTACCGTGATCCTCTGCACATCTGTTAAACCCTCGCTGAATCCTGGGTCGTGCCTTTTGAGGGAATAAATCCTCTATGAAGCGGTTTGATCCAGACTCGGACAGCTTCCCGTTCGAATCTAACTGTAAAGTAAATGTGGGTAAAGTGTAAATTAAGCTCATGGACATGAACCCAAGGGTTGAGACTTAGTATTTGCCCTTACAATTCCTTGCTTCTTCCTCTGACAAAGTTTAATGCACTGCAGGGAAAGATACGTGAACACATTTTGGCATATTCATTTTGCATATTTTGAACTCTTTGCAACATTTGCAAAGAAATATTATACTTTTGGATGAAAGATATGCAACGAACCATGTGATTTTTCTTCATAGCTTTCTTCTTCCCTCGGGGCTTATCAACTTGGTCTCTTGGATTAATCGCAATCTCTTCGGTGCATTCTGTCATCCCAAAAGTTAATTTGGCTTCGGGAAGATGCTGTCCAAGACATTCCATTGTTGTAGAATTCCCCTCCGAGTTCTTACCTCCCCTCTGCTTCCCACTTTTTCTGGCGTCTGTTGTCTATGCTCCACGATAACATTTTTAAAATCACTCTAAATAACCACGAGGAGGTAAAAGATTTGGGAAACTTACCAATAGTGAAGCCATTAAAACTGTGAAAATTATTAGTAGCTTCATGATGATGATTTAATTAATAACTAATTCACAATTTACCAGCAGAGTCCAATCAATACTCTTAATTTCAGGGGTAAAGCTACCTACAAGTCAGTCTAGAATAAGGTTTCCGGGCCTGTTTCATGTACTTACACAACGAGCTGCACTTCTTTCATGTGCAGTGCTTTCATGTACTAATGTTCGACAGGAAGTCTTCCTGTGTGAGGGATGGGATACGATGATGAAAATATTGAATAAAGCCCAGCATGAAGATCAGAAGAAGCAAAACCAACCAAGGAACTATAATATTATGGTTCAGCCTCTGTTACGTCAAGTTGTGTAATTTGATAGGGAATTTAGTCAAGTGTGGAGCAAGTATGCTTTAGTAAGTAAAAAGCAGCCTTTTTCCAGGCGATGCACGTATGCATTAGGCAGACATGGTTGGTTACTGTATGATAAATATGATGATGGAGAGAATGAGAGAAGAAATCTGTTTGAAAGATCGGTCAAGTTTGAGTGATTTTAAACAACTCTCACAACTTTCAGAGATAAAAGATTTGAGCATCCAAAAGCCGTTCTTGCTTGCTCTTATATAAATCCACGGTTAAATCGACATGTCCAGATTCATGAGAGAGAGAGGAATAAGAAGATCTCTTGTTGTGATGAGACGAGACCTTTTAGTTGAGAAATGTAAACAGACGCTCAAGAACCATATAGCTCGCAACATGGTGTACATATGTATGTCGTTACGTTAATACATATTTATTTTACAGTTACATATTATATCGTTAACAACTTTGCCATCAGAACTACTCCTTCTGCATTCTGCATTATGCGTACCAAGCAAAAATTTTGCGCAACTGGAGGACAAGAAATCCTTATGTTAATTCGCTTATCAACTTTTATTAGCTAGCGATTTTTAGTTAAATATTTTGAACAAAGTCGTATCTCGTTGTAAAAATATTATAATAACATTGATTATTTACGTTGCATACGCCAAAGTCACCGATTCCAGCAAACAAGTCGAGGTTAATATGTATCTATATAAATCGAATCAATACCCAACCAATTAAGGTTGTCAATGATGATATTGATTGATTGGTTTTGTATCTCTCAGATCCCAGGCTCCGTAATTAAATTTATTGCAAGATGAAACACCAATGGCTGTTCAAGTTTGTCTAATCACGTTAAGTTTGTGGATGCGAACGGCGATGGGCTGAGGATTTTTTTATCTATGCATTTATGTATAAGATTTTTATTGGATACGTGTATACCAAAAGTTAGCAATATATAAGTTACAAAACGAATCCTTCATTGGCACAATTATTCGATTGATTGATTCTCCTGCGTGACCAAACTTCAAATAAAAGGCCAGCCCATCCAGCTATCCATCCAAAGCCAAGCAGGATGCTGAATGCTAAAGAAGAACTCCCAATTTCCACCCCTTCATACTCGGATGCATCTTCGCACACTGACTTCTTTTTGAGAAATTTTTTGCTCCACCGACTCACAAGGCCAAACTGTACAGTTTTCAAAATTCTGAAAATGAGGAGAGAATTACGAAATTGCAAGCATGGGTAGAATGTTGTATGCAATGCATTTTTGTAAACATACTGGTAATCAATAATTCTTTTGTAGGGAGAGTTTCTCTGAACCAAGGTTCCCTGCTTTTGTCTGCCATTTTCAACCTCAATCTCTCGTATTCGACATGCCTCCAGCGTTGAAAAGTCGGTCGTGAGACTCTCGTAAGCTCCGGCATGGTCAGTCACAAAGACAAAGCGGCCTCTGTTCATTTCCTCTCTCGCCTCCTTCATGGAAGGGTAACTCTTATCCGTCCGTCTCCGTTTGAACAACATGACACCCTTCGCATCCGGTGACTCCTGCAATCAAAATTCATGTGATGTGAACCAGTAATGCGCCCAAAAACCATCACTCGTTCTCAAGAGAGCAAAAAATTAAAGTCCAGTCCAGAAAGCTTTCTCAGCCACCGAACCATGTACATGCATATGTATTTGTACATATTATATGTGCCTGTGCATTGTAATATTAAAAGTGACACTTACTGACAAAAACTTTAAGGGCAACTCGTAATCAACGACGACAAATGTAAAATCCGTCGCCAACAGTTGTCCAATGTTATTGATTGGATCAATCACAACTGACAGGAAAGAGACCAAGGTCCCAGAGTATGCTGCAAATAGTACAATTCCTGCCAAACTCCCAACTATCATGACAATTCTTAGGGAACTTTCTATTGGTAGCTTGTAGAATCCGCGAAGGGACATTGCGGTCATGGACCACATAAAGCAGTCAGACACGTTCCAGTGATCTCTCCCAATGCCTGCACTACTCAGCTTATTCCTCCCTTTTCTTGAACTCACGGCCCAGGCTTTTATCCAGCTCGTCATTGTTTGGCTACAGTTTAATTCGATTTTCTTCTGGCTTGAGCTTTCAAATTGGAGAGAGTCTGGGATGTCAGGATTGTGGTCTTGGTCCAACAGCACGTTGTTCACAATGATTGCTGTAAAGGTCATGCCAAGGACCATGCAAAGAACTGCATACCAGCAAATTGGTTGGAAGGGCTTGATTAAGGCACTGAAATGAGAAGAGACTGCGGGCGGACGTTGAAAGTATGCAGCGAGTCGGATTTCATTCGTGGGGATGTTGAAATCCACAACTGCTCTTCGAAATGGCCGATCAGCAATGGATGAAAGTCCGAGATCCGTTTTATTGTCCAATAACAGCGCTATCATCCCAACCCAAGTATTGTTTGGAAGCAAGTGCCCCCAAAACTTTGTAATCACAGGTATTGTCCTGCGTATCAATAGAAGAATTGATCAGCAATGCACAAAACACATATTTCTAAAGTTAAAATAATTACGTGAAGTTCATTGTAATTTCCAAAGCTCGAAGTAGCTCCACAGCGAAACTTTCCTTAAAACTGACTGTTCCGTCGAGATTTTGCACAACGTCAGTATCGTACGCGTACTCATCGCTCATCTAAGAATAGCAAATATACAAACAAACTATTTTCACACGTCTTTGGGCATGTTTTTCAAAATAAAATATATAATTTAGTCAAAAATAAATTGTACAAACCACAGCAGCAACTCGTAATGGCTGGCCATGCAAATTAGACCTGGCCAATTCTGAGATTTCTGAAAGACGCAACAGAAGAGTTGTGTTTGTCATCTCAAGACGACACGACCTTCTGAGAGTAGCTGTAAAATAGTTACAAAAATAGTTGAATCCACTCTGAATAAGAGCCTCGGAAAACAGGTAAAATATTTCAAACCGGCGTATTAAAAGTTAGTGAAAAGACCACAGTATCATGTGCATATATGTAGACACCTTATTCTTTATATTCATGACCACGAAAGCACCAGCAAGTGGCATGGATTACCAGGATATTTCTGGTGTATGTGACAAAATTGATGGGAAAGTAGCGGCTGCAACGTTTTCCCATTCTTAGCGGTGAGTCCCATTGTATGCAGAACTGGCCAAGTGACAATGCATCTCTGGCTTCTTGGGTTTACAATTTCTTTAACGATGACACATAATAATATATCAGATTGATTACCGGTCAAAGAATGTCAGAAAAATGTCGCTGCTTTCTCATTCATCTTTTTGACGCATGACATATTTCGTCGTTCAAAGTACACCATTTATGTTACTCCATTCGCGTTAATAATATGGTTCGTCGACATTGGCAAGTTTACTAATAATCCACTTGATATAGACAACTACTTGTATGCCAAAAAGTACTAATGCACTTACTAATGAGTGAGTACTAATAAATTGTTACATTTAATAAATAAATAGTAAAGTCGCTATTTTATTGAAGACTTTTGGTGAATGCGTAATGTGTACCAGTTTATTTATCTCTTCCGTGCATTAAAAAGTATTACAGGAGATATATACATTGCGAAATTGTTTAATACATAAGTTTTCAGAAAAACGAAAAAAAAGTGGTGCTAAACACGGATGGCCGGCAGTCCAGAGTGTTTGATTGCAATCGTCCTTTCGCTTTGTTGAAGTGCTGGTTGTTCCTTTCTGGGAGCGGTGATGGTGAGAATCCCGTCCGAACTTAGGACGCACTTGACGTCGGACGCTCTGACGCCGGGAGGCAGTGAGTGCTTCCTGGAATACTCCTGATAACTGAAGTTTCCCTCGTCCTGCTTCTCCTCGTGCTTCCCCGAAACGCTGATTGTCTCATCAGCCACCTTCACCTGAATCTCCTCCGCCTTAAACTGTCTCACATCCAGCGTTAACTATGTATTCAAAGAACAACTACTTTATTCCTGTTCATATGTACATATTTTTGTTTATCAAGTATTTATACTCGAGAGCAGTCCTATATGAAATGAATGGGAGAGTTTTTATTTTGCTACCTACCACGTATCGATCCGATTCTGTGACAAAGGTCTCAATTTTGATGGGATGATCCTGAAACATGGGCGTCATGATCCGATTAGAAAAGTTGTCAAACTTGTTGTCCTTGAACAAACTTTGCGTAGAAGTGTTGAAAGAAGGGACGAGAAAGTTGTTCTCAACGTTATTCTCTGCCGCCCATCTCTTGTTGCTGGCTTCAAACATCTTGAGGGCAGAGTTTGACATGTCACTCCAGTCGTGAGACTTTGATGATGACAGAATACTGACAGGTTTAAAATTTTCCTGCTGCTTCGGCTGGACGACCACAGGTCGAGTCTGGGGTCGCATTTCAATTTCTGTAATTTTTGGAGTGATTCTGACAGATTTTTTGGATGTGTGGGCGGAAGTAGTTTTGAAGGAAGTTGGGTGGCTCAGTGGGACGGAGTTGCTTCCTTCTCTTTGAATTGGGATGATCATGATGATTTTAGTTATCTTATGTATTTGAGAAACGTTCACTGTTATCAAATTAGGAAGTTATAAAAAATTATTGGACAAAAATTACAAAAAAACTAAATGTTTCTCTACTGTGAGGTATATACGACGAGTTTGGAATTGTGTGTGAAACTGATTTTGACCAAAGTCAAACGGTTAGTTATATACCCTCGCTCGCCTCTTTCGGGACAGCAACAACGGTGATGTAATCAATATACAGAACATGCCAGTTTAAAAACATGTTGTCTAAAATTGGGTAGATCGGATCTTGAGCATCGTACTTGTGTAGGTAGGTGCATGGTGTCATGCATAAAGTGTTAATATTGGTGGTGACGATATGACACCCACGCTGCAATTTCGTATCATCATGAGCTTGTTTTGCTTTGGAATGAAAAGGTGGATGCAATTTCACTTTAGAAACAGACTTGTTGCTGGTTATATACATTTTAGCTTTTATTTGTTAATCCCCAATCACCATTATTGACTTGTTGCTTAATAAGCGTGGCTTACTCATGTGTCTAATTTGTAAATACTTGTGTGATTAATTTCTCTCCCGTGATGTGGGTGGCATTTTCATAGATTTTCATACTCAGCATGAGTCAGAGGATGTCATCAAGGAGAGTCACAAAGGTTTTGGAACAGCACCAAAAATATATTTATTTTGTGGGGAATGACATTAACAAAATGCGAAAAGTTTTTGTGGTGTCAACTTTTGATGGCTCATTGAGCAGATTCTAGAAGCGTGTCAATTATCAAGTTCAGGGATAATATCAGACATTCGAGCATTTTTGGTGTGTCTCATTGATTCAAAAGCAGAATTTAATCCTTAATCTGTCGTCATATGTAATCATACTTATTCTGACATTCAAAAAGTATGTATTTTGGGCGAATGTCGTGGGGTTTTATGGATCGCAAAATGGGATGTGATGCATACTCTAAAATATCTTTCATGAAATGTAGTTGAACGCGAAGTTAAATGGTTAACAAAGTTTAGACAGGTTTATGTGTTTGTGGACGGGGAAAAAATCTGGTGGTAGAGAAACTGAACGACGACGTATGTAAATATTGCCAAATTTGGGCGCTTGTCCTTGTTAGGACGTTTCTCAGTCGGTTGTAAATTAAATTATGGATTAAAGGTGCCCCACTTAATTGAGCATTAGATTCACTGTTGGATGAGATCATCTTTTGCGAGAAGTTTCCAGAAGTTCTATACACCATTAATTTTTATCACTTTGCATCATGCCGTGTGGTTGTGTGAACAACAAATTAGAACGAACTATTTAAATGTACAATACCAAAACTTTAATTTATTTATGCACCTTCAACGCTTTTAATTCTAGGATTGTTTTCCAGGTAGACAAAATGCATACACGTATTACGTAATAATTTGGAAGTACATAATAAAGAGAGATATTTCAATTTTAGTTTAGTAACTTGAATAAAATTAGTAGGTTATATTTTCCATAAAAATCAATAATATTGTGAGATTAAATAGTTTCCCAATTGTAGGTTATACATATGTATTCACGTAAACTCTTACTACAAAAATTACATATTTATCTTTCTACTCTGTGTATTAAATTGAGATAGGACTACTACTCACAATAATTGTCAGAGGTAATAATGGTATGGTAGGTACTGTTGTATGTGGAAGTCGTATGAGAAGAACATTCATATCACCGCGTCGACACACGATTACATTTTCTTTACAAATTAACGAATAAACGCTAAAAACAACTGCATAGACTAATATCACTAATATCAGCACTACCCATACCACAACTACCATTGCCAATCCTACTAGCAAATACTTACTCGACCTTGATTTTCTAAGAGGAATAATGATCATGGCATTCTGAACTTTGGTAATCCACTCAGGCCAGCAGTGACGGAGCTACATAATCAAATTTCCAGCACTCCAATGACAGCGCATTCGTCGTCCCTCGCGGTTGGAAAAACGATTTCCCCGTCGTCATCCCGATACTCGTTGAATTTGGCCTCGGCTAGCTCACGAAAGTTCATTTTTTCTCCTATTTTCCTGCAATTAGTCGTACGCAGACATTTCATTTCATTAGACAATCATTTCAGGAGATATCTGTAATTATTTTTGGCGGAGAAAGCGCAAACAACACAAGAGGCTATTGGGCATTTGGTGTACAGATACACATGTCTCAACTTGGAGTTTACCTGGTGAAGGGAGAAGTGAAGCAGCTTTTGAGGAGTTTTAATCCTCTCGCCTGAAGAAGACGAATGGCTCCTCGGTACATCTCCCCAGCCAAACCTTGACCTCTAAATTCTGGGTGAACAGAGGCCATAAACAACTCGGCGTACTCGTCCAAGTCGGGATAATGGCTGAATATCCCCGCCTCTTCGTCCACTTTGTCGAGAAACGGCATGATTTTGCACATTTCTGGCGACTTTAGTTTCAAGCGACTATGCGTTTCATTGCGTCGGTAAATGGCAATTATTCTGGCACCTGCAACCTGAAAATTTAGACGAAACATATTGTAGCAATGTCCCACATATCCGGGACCTTGATTGCTTCATTAGATATGCAACGAATCAGTACATAACGAGTCGTCGTGTATCATTAGGAATTTTATGATGGTGTCAGCACTACAAAGAACTCATGCAGAGCTAGAGAACTTTGGTATACTTTAGAATTTGTACGCGTTGAGTAATTCTGAAAGCGAGCGAGCGAGCGAGAGAAAGCCAACACTTGTTTTCTGTTTAGAAAAGAGGAGAGAAATGAGGCTAGAGCGGAAATTAATTGGCTGTTTTTGTGGCATGAAGTGCACTTTGGAAAATGAGAACTCGAACAACGAGTTCGAATGAATTTCTTTTTTTCTGTAATAGCAACCATACGACGATGCGACGATGCGACGACAGTGAGTGAGACCCAATTTGTGAGATAAAATATAAATCCGTCTCAGTTTGTGTGGTGCTTGAGACTCTCCTGCTCGCATGTTCAATTATTTGATGCACGACAAGATTTGCATTTGCTAATGCTAGACGGTAGCCCATCATATATTTATGCATGATCTCCTAACGGTCCTAAATATGTCGGTACATTTACTTCATCATAAGATTTTAAGATCATATGCTCTGATGTTACATGAATCCCTGACGTGAAATAACTTTTCGAGAAATCAACAAGAGATGCTATTACATGGATCATAATCATGCAGACATAATTATGCAGAAAATAGTGAAAGCTCACTTTGTTGGTGTCTTTGTCCAGAACTATAGTACTGAGCCCGTCCTTGAAATATGACGTGATCATTTGATCCATATCTTGGGCTTTCTCCTCCTAAATAATTAAAAATAACATTATGAAAAGAGACGCTAGTTGACCAGCTGGGCATTATTTTCAACTTAATCATAATAGATATAGAACCCAAAAGTGTAATTAGTGGGGATTATAATATCGTAAAGGACCCCCCCTTGAACGGATAAGAAAATCGAAAGACTGAGATGCGGACTCACATACTGGTTTTGCTCATATTTGAGTATTTGTAATATTGGTTTACTCACTGAGTATCCTGTGATCGCATTCAGTGGTTCATCTCGATAAAAGGCTTCCCTCATGTGCGCCAAGACCCTTGGATAGTCCTCTGTCTGCACGGGTTTAAATATAAAATTGTTCCATACTTCGTCTGCCATATCGTTGCAGGAGGAGTAGGAGGAGGTGGAGGACTTGGTGCTGCGTGTCGTATTTCCAGCAGCGGTCGTCGCCATTGTCGTCGCCGTGGCCGCGACATCCTCAGAATCCATCACGCTAGACGATGAGCAGCTCTCGGTGCGACTTTTTGCTTCCAACTCTGCATCGAAACTGGAATTTGTACAACACCCGGAATCCATGTGTACCAAAGCTTCCGCAGTTTGTGCCATAATCCTCGAAGGATGTTTTACACTTGAACTGGTTCGAGAATCGCTTTTCAAAGGAAGCTTAGAGTGTGTCCGTGTCCAATTAAAGTTCCTCCCAGCCACCCAGCAACAAACTTGTAAATACAAGTTTTAAATTGTTGCGTCCCTTGCTCGTACTTCAATAATGCTGGACTTGGCGATAAGAAAAATCGATCGAGTAAACTTGGCTCTGTTTGAAGAAAGTTTTTCTATCTTAAATGAGGTGGCAAATACTAGAGCTATTTACTCGGAATCCTGCTGAAAGATGTTAGAAACTCATCATAATGCTTTGCTTGGATGGATACATCAGGTTTGGAGGACAGACGCTACGAAATAGGAGAAGAAAACTGTGGAGTGAAATCCTGAGAGACAAACCAACAATCTCTCGCTCTTACTAATTTATCACGTACATCAGAGATTGAGAGATGAACGCAGTGAAAGTCCATATAATGCAAGTGTAATCTCTTACCTTTATTTAATATACTAAAAGCATTATATTTATCAAGTGAAAGAAACTTTCGAACTTAAACTGAACCGAAGAAGGAAACTAAAAGATTAATATAGAAAATACGATGAAATTGAAATTCTTACATGTGAAACGGGTCTGGTGCAACACAACTTTCTCCAATAGGCGAATTTTGCATATGCCGAAAGAAAGGAGACTGATAAAAAGTTTTCTCTTTGTGACTTGGATGAAATTCGGCTAGCAAAAGCCTTCCTCCAGGCGTGCTATTTTATTAGTGGGTATTATTGTTTGGTGCAGAATGCTCATGTACGTAGTTGGTGCCTGAAATAATATTAGTGGGACGATCAGAAGGGAATGCAAACAGTGAGAGTCGTGGTAGTAAACTGGGCTAATAATTGGGATCGGAATTTCCGCAGACGGAGGCGACGGTGATGTTCAGGAAATTCGGAAAGTTTCCTACTTTCACTTTCAGAGTCAGATGAGAAAAGCCTCGACTCGACTCGTGAGCAGCCGTGTCAAGAGAAGTCAGAGTTCATCGCCACACTGGAGAGAAAGCAGCGTCGGGTGGTCCTTTTATATAAGCTGGCGAGTCAGGAGTCTCGCATCAGCACTCTCGCTGGGTGGGTGGCATTGACGATGAGAAGACGGTAGGAGGCTGGGAGAGATTCTCTGCATGAAATGGGATCGAATGCGAAACCTGGTATCTGGCTTTCTCTCTGAAGACTAGACTGGGTATCCACTCGCACCCATCAAGGACAGAGAAGAGGAAAGCAATCCCATCGGCTCAGCCTGTTGGAAATTGCAACAATGCTGAGAAGGATTCAATGAGTCTAATTTCACAAATTCTCCCTCATGTTTCACCAGATATTCTATATGTACGTGCCAAATCTGTGCATACATTTTCATTCGTACGTAGTTGAGCGTGTGATGCATGGTCAAAGTGATGAGGGTTGAGAATGCTGAGAATTTCGTTTTTCATCAAGTCCAATATTTCTGCACGAGTTGTGAACTAATTAAATCTCATGCTTCTCTCTCAGGTCTGAATCCCCTTCACTTTCTGGTGTAAGACCAGAGTGTATGGAATATGATACGTTGCAGAACTCTGCCAAAAGGCTAGAATAATCGTACCAAGAAAGCGCTACTAATGAGAGCAGTGAGATACTTGTTGAGTCGTCTTCTTCTTGCTCTTCAGTAATAAAACGGGTACTCGTTTCATGAAATGAACTAAAACAAGCAATCGACTCTCTCGTCAAAGTTGTCTTTAGCATCCTGCCTGTAAACGTGATTGCTTTCTTTTCATCATCTTGTACACGTCCGTCTCCTGCTGCTGCTTCCAAAGTGCAACATGGACTAGGGTAAAAAATAATCAATATGGGATACGTAAAAACCTGCTGGGTTTAATGCTATTTTATTGATGGATTATTTTACTGCATGCTGTCTCCAAAAACTGGCTGTTGCGGTTGACTCTCCTACGGATGCATGGCCTACATCAACAATACGAGGTAGCAACCAACCACGCAGAGAGCGCTGGAGAAAATAAGCATGGAGAAAATAAGTTTCGCTCCATAGGCGTGGAAGCTGTATAGGTTTGGCCGAAATAAAGAGCAGGTAGCTCGAGTAGCTGTTGGTGATCGAATCGAGGAGGTCGGAAGGAGGGCAAATGAAACCTTTTTACAATTCAAATAGTAGTAAACTTACACGAGGCGAGAGAATGATGAGCTCTTGGCGTCGTTCTCCTTCATCCAAGACCAGCAGCTTATTTCCTCTCTTTCTCTGCACTTACTTGGTGCAAGGCCAAGAGAACAGACGGTGAAGGGACCAACAGTTCATAGTTACATACACATCGATTCCACATAGGCCAGCCAATGGCGACGACTACGACGCCCAACATTTGTACACAACGCGACCTTCGTTTTTTGTATCTTTCATTTAAGCTTCTATGCTCAATTGAATCCCTCGATGGGAGGAAAACTTCAGAGCTAATACATAAATGTATCTGTCCTTATGCCTTTCCCTGAGGACATTATACGTAATATGACTCTCCCAAATATGAATTTACTCGAGCTGTCTTTTTTTGCGGAATTGGTAACACACACGTGGATGGATGAGGATGCTGGGTCTCATACAAACAGAGTGTTGTGTGGATAAGATCGATGGGTGGAACTAAGATGTTTTCTACACAATTGTGCTCCCTTCTGCTGTGTATTGACAAACGAAATTGGGAATATTGAGAATAAAGAGACACACGAATTGGAGTGGGGAGAAAGAGAGAGTCCTTCAATTTTTTTCAATCTGGGCTTCATACGTTGTGCACGTTTCAGATGATACAAATGGACAAATCGATCTGTTCCGTTAGCAAAATTTGGACAGCTTCACTCGGTCGCTGAGTTTTATTGAGATGTGATGTATTTTACTACAATAATTTCGCCTAGAAGTACAATAATTCTCTAACTCTGTCAAAATTCATCGTTCATGAAAAATATATAATCCGCCTTGTACCCAATTTTGCATCCTAGTTTTTTATGAAACGCAATTGAGGCTTCATTTCGAATTTCTACGGTTGATGTTGGTATCAAACCTTCCTTTGCCAACTCCTTGTAAGCAAAATTCATACACGCATTGGCGTAACCTTTTTTCCGATGTTCTTGTAAAGTGTAAAGCGCTGATAGGATACCAAAACCTTGTGTAATCACCCCACAAACTGGTTTCCCGTCCACGTACACCCCTCCAGACTTGTTCAGCTCAATCGCCCTTCGAACAACAATATCAGAATCCTTTGTAGCGTATTTCCAAGTGTCAAGAATGAATTTCAATCCTAGCTCCGGATCAAGGCGTTGGACTTGCACGTTCTTAGTATGGTCGTTGATACTAAGTTAATCAATCAACCATGTAATTCATTAACCAATAAAATTATTCCCAGCAAAATTACCACAGTAGATAAAACAAAATACGTATTATTCTCAACCTGACATCCAACGTGAGACATTCCTCGATATCTTTATAGAACATGTAGGTAGGATGGATCATGGTGATGTTTCCTTTGATGCTGACACTGATGTCGAGGATGATGGAAGAGATCCATTTTTCCACAGCCGCAAAGAAAAATGGTTCGTCCCACTTGAACAAGGAACAGGAAGAAAGTATTCCAGTGGCTTCATCTCGTGAAATTTTGGACTTTTCTTCATCAGCAGAAATTAGATAGTCCTGACCGTAGTCCTTGAAAATGTGTAGAACGTGAGACCATAATCAACAAACGGTTTAAATAAAGTTCTTAACTTTTACTTCTCTGAAATGTAGATAAATAATCCACGATGTCTCATCGACATCTCCGTAAAGTGTGTAAAACGACACTTGACTTTTGTCGAATACTCGCCCGTACATTTTTGCCGAATTATAAACCTGTTCATGTAAATCAACCTTTCAATTACGCACAGGGTTGGGTAATGAATATTTGTTTAAAAATATGTGACCATGTCATTACCAGGGCAGACTTTGGAAGTCGCTTTTCTAAAACTGGGATCAATACTGATGGGTCTTCCACCCTCACGAAGGGAAAGGATGCGGTGTCGGTCATTATGATAATATTAACTTATACTCTAATTTTTTACGATTTATGTTTTCAAGTATGTTCAGCAAATTTCTATTTTCAGTGTTTGAATGTATTCAATGCACAAATGGATTGCTTAATCGACGGCAGTCCGCAATTGATAATAGAAAGCAGGCAAACGAAAAATAACGCATGTGATATGTGATATGCATAATATTGTGTACGAACATAAGCATGTACATACTCGTATGTATATTCGCTTGATTAAAGCAGACACAAGTTTAATTGTGTAATCTGCCCGTTCCAGAAAAGAACGATTAATTGAACAGAGTTATCCAATAGTGCCCCGCAACCAGTATATCGCAGATTAGTAAAGCAGTTAGTAAGATTACGTTTTCAATTGACAGGCTTGGCCACAAGCACTGTTCAGCAGTCCAAGAATCTTATGCATTAATATCGTTGCATAACTAAAGAACCACGGCATACCACGTGTAAAAGATCAGCATTTATAATTTAATAATAAACAAAAGTGGATGTTTTGCAATTTGCATGCCTTGGATGTCGTCAGAGCAGAGCATGTCCCATAAATCTGTAGATATTGGCCTGCCCCGACGTTACTCTCTCCTTTTACTCGGTTACCGTGTTCCTCCTCGCGGGAGGGCATATAATCGTCCTTGTTTGTTTTTATTTTTTTGTAACTATTAATAAAATCAATTGATTGATTAAATTTCACGTTTTTTCTCCACAGTTTGGAGTACGAGTTCAACGTAATGTGACATTTTAGCATTCGAGACTCCTTGTCGTCTTGAGGTCCTTACACGAGTCATCATAAGTGGACAAGTAATATTATGTAAGGTTCGCCTTTAAACCATATTATATAAATTAAAAATAATTAACATCAAATTAAAAGTCAAATTAATTACCACCGAGTACGAGTTCTATGTCTTGAACGTTTAATTATTTATATTATCAATTTTTACAGGGACAAAAACATTGTAAACCAGCTTCGTCGAAGCATATTTAACGCAATTGAGATTCTGTCCCAACAAAGTTGTACCGTAGATCGAAAATCTGTAGTACGTTGTGTGCTTAACAGCAAAATTGGGGATCGAGTAAGTTTGCTTACTATTGAGGACGAGATGGAGAACCTTGTCAGATGCGGTAACCTCGTAAAAATCCCACAAGACGACAGCTCAGTCACATATCAACATCCGCAAACATTTGGTGTGTAGTTTTATATCATATATTTAAACTATTTTTATTTATGTCACAATACAACTCCCAAAAACTATATGATTACTGAATTAAATATTTCAGAGACAGATCAAGTAACAGCTAACAACCCTCCTGTAAAAGTAAAGGGCATTAGCAAACGTCCCGCTCCCGATTTAATTGACCTGACCTCAGATACAGATGATGAGGGTGAAGTCGACGTACAACCATCTATATCATCGTCAAAGATCGTTACCCAATTGGATGGGCAATCTGATTGTGAATGGAATACAAAACGTATTGCAGACTCGTCCCCACCTACTATTTCTGGGAATATTACAAATGTAAACGATGGGGCTGCTTCTTCCGATGATGAAGCTACTAACATTGCTAATTTGCTAAAACAAGATGAAGATGAAATTATTTCAATGGAATCTGATAATGACAACGAGAACGAAGACAAAAATCATCATGGATCGAGCCAGACTCATCATGATCCTTCAGTTTACGAGGGAATACGAACTAAAAATGAAGAATTGGTTCTAGTGTCGCCTGAGATTGAGAAAAGTTTGCATAGCGATGACAGATCTACCCCACCTCCACCCCTCCTTGTAATGGATGCGTTTGAACCATTCCCAAACCAGATAAATCCTTCGATTGGTGAACATCAACAAATGCCGATAATCCATTCTATGATGGATAAATTGGTTCCTGATCCGGTGGTTCGAGATCTTCTTATAGGAGGAAGGACCGAGCCACCACCGCCCAAGAAAAGAAGAAAACAAAGATCTCAATTTACAGAAGATCAACTTGGCATTCTAAGACAAGCCTTTCGAAATTGTAACAAATTGAATGCACTCACAACCATGGAACTCATTAATCAGACTGGGCTTGAAAAAACTAAAATTCAGGTATGGTATCACATTCAAGTGTCAACTTCATGTATAAAAATTTGTGAAATGAAATTGAAACCAGTTAACTATTAACAAGGTATTGATACTGATTAGTAAATATTAGCACGAGAATAGACTCAGTTCACAGTTGTTGGTTGGGGGAATAAAGACCTAATATACACATTATGTTTAGGGATGGTATGTTAAACAGAGAAAGTTGGAAAGTGCAGGAGGCGTAACGGGTGCGAGAAATAATGCTACAACTCAATCTCAGAGTCCTCCAGAAGGTAATGTATATGTTATTATAGATAGACTTGCATAAATAATCGCTAAGCATGATTGTAATCCATAATATAACTTTGATCAGTAGCAGGGTCTTCGAAGCAAGAAACACGTACAAATTCAGAACAAGAGGCGCGTAATGTTCCAGCACCTTACGAAAAGGATAACCACGCCCTGAAAACTCAGCGAACAGAGAAATCACAAACACCAGGTAAATTAAAGAACACTATTATAAATTGTGATTTGTGGCAACATGTTTTGTTTTTAAATCATCTTTATCTCACAATTCTTTATGTGTATATACAGAACAAATTGCTTTAAAGATTGAGTCCAGAGTAGAGAAAATTTTAACCTTTTCACAATCCGAAATACTGGCGGCACTTGAGAATCGTAAAGCTCGATCATCCACATTGATTCGCTTGTTTATGGAAGAAAAGTTGGACTTCAAGAAAAAACTTTTAAGCGAAACCACTCGGATCAAGGAAAAATCGATGCGCTACGTTTTCAATGACATTCAAAAATCATGCATGAAAAACTGGAGGGCAAAGTTTATAGAGCAAATAAAGAAAAACGAGGCTCCAGACATTGCTGAACGACTTGATTCTGCCGACAGTAACATCCTTTCGGTGTGGGTACCCTTACTTGTTTACGGTAATAGGTTTTTGGGTATTAACTGTATTAAACGTATATATTAAACAACATTAACATCTTGATAATTATATTTGAGCAATTCTTTCGTTAATACAGGGAGGATATTGAACGTTTCTTTGAAAGAAACAGTTCGAGATTTCACTTTTCAATCCCGCCATCGTGTAAGAAATTTTTTAAAAATTAAAGTACTAGACTAATGTTTTGTGGAATTATTATATGATGAATGAATAAACTTTCTTTTGATTATAGCTTTTTTCGCCAAAGACGGAAGAATATATTACGCCTCGCTTTCTTCAGATTTACTGCAGAAATTCTGGAGACCATTGAACGAAACCGTACACGAATTGCATAGCGATAAGAGAAAAGCTGTATGAACATATAATACTTTTACTATAAAAAACTGACAAATGTTTAGCTATAAGTAAGACATGATTTACACAGTTGATGGAAAAAATATAGAAGTATTTGCATATATATGGAACAAAGTGCAATCTTATTTTATGATTGTAATTAATTAATTAATTAATCTGATTGTATTTTCTAGCAACTTACAAAAGATATAATTATTTTAGTATATTTTTGTACCAACCTATTTATATACATTTAATGTAACTGTAATCAAGTACATTGTCTTACCTAATATTATTAAATATTCAAAATTAATAAATACTCAAAACTTTAAATACATTCTTCGAATATTCTTATCAGCTTTTTACATAATTTAATTTATTATTATAGTCATTTGTCATTTCGGCTTATATTTATTCCTGTACTTCCAGGAGTTCACATCATTCTAATAAATTATCTGACAAGACAACCGTATGTAGTATGCGTAGTGGATTTTATAATTTATGAGGATAACAAACGAATAAAAGGTTGTACATTTTTGTTGTTTGGGTTTATATGACTTCCTATTCTGTCACTACAGTCCATCTAAATATTAAAGTTTAGGATTATTCCTCCTGAGTTTCAAATCAACAGGAATAAATTATGCAATTTTTTAAGCCAATCAGCAAAAGGCACATCAGTTCAAGGGGGAGAAAATTCGAATTCGACTATACCGGTGAGTTTATAATTCAAAGGAAGGAACAGGAATGATCAACCAAAACACGCTCCCCTGCACAAATAGTACTTTGCATAATATGGGCATAGCTTCTTCTATAATCGTTTGTGTCAGTGTAGTAGGGACATTAGATTAGATTAAATATTTTGCATATCACACTGTGTGGACAGTTCAACCACTACATATTATATGCCTATGCCGTTTCCTTCATAGTCCGAAGGCATCCATATCACTACAACCAACAGCACTTATCTTTTCGACTTGTAGACAAAGCCGAGTTGATTTTGTACCAACGCTGTTGTATTATTCATATCAAATCTATTCCTGCTACTCACAATCAGCATAAGAGGTTTTAACCATATTTAGTAGACTTACTTATGTACGTATGGTTTTAGCTCGTTATTACAGAAGGAAGACTCCGAATCCAATCCAACAGATAGAAACCAACAACAGCGTAAATATCTGTGTATGGAAAGTATTGATACGGCTGTCCTCATTTACTTTTTATAGCTCGTTGTTTGTCATGCCTATTCCCCAGCTATTGTCCAGAGCGACATTATGGATGGCTATCAATCAATAATATCTTCATCGGTAACTTGAATACTGTTCTGAATAATCTGCATGGTTGATTTTACTCGGAGCATTCGCTTTGTGGTTGTTGTAAGCGAAGTGCACCCAAACTTTTAGTGTAGTTTTGTCTCATTTTCCAACTTTGGTCATTGAGACTTTAAAACCACTGCTGCTTAATTTTAACTCGAGTTATCTCAATTCAATTAGACTATTTATCAATACATATTTCAGTTTTCGCTACCGTTTTGTACCTTACATGTAAATACAGTGCTCGTCTTTGTCTAGATGATTCAATGACCGTGGCATCCAAATCAAGCTCAAGTGTGAAGTGCAAAATTAATGCTAAATCTGCGAAAACAAACCATACTTATTCTCGTGCACATGTAATGTACGTAATCATGTAAGTAGGATATCAGTGGAAAACCTTTTTTGTGAATGTGTGATGTTGCTGTATGAAGTATGACAGCTAATTACCATTTATAAATAACGTATATCTTGACATGAGTGAGCGAAGGATCCAATCTGGGTGATGTGATAAGTGATTATAATTATATAAGTCATCCCAGCATCTTTAATACCAACAACGTTAAATATTATGTGACATTTTATTATTTATCGATGTACGTATCCTGCCACGGAAAGTTTGAGAGTTTGTCCGAGGAGGGAAAGTTTATACTCCTACATCGTCCACGTTGACAATTCACGATATTGTTTTTTTCTGTTGGCTGACCTTACAAGTTTCTTTTGAAATAAAGATGCAAAAAGTTCAACTTTGCTGCTGATTAGTTTCAAGGTTATCGATTGTTGAAGCACAAGGTAAATTTCAATTTGTTGGATATGAGTTGTTTTGCTACATGTAAACAGAATTGTTCAAAATTATGAGTTATGACTGAAATCTGAATTTAAGATTCTGAAACTATACGTGTAAAATCAATGCAATGAGTAATTATTGTTCATGTTGTTTTTATCCTAGTTGTAACTTTGAAGTTATAATTTATAATTATAAACTATATAATACAATTATATTTGTTTTTGCAATCTCAGCACTTCTTCCCTTCCGGGTTCATGAGAGTCGCCCGTCAGAGCAATCTGTTCTGTTTCAACTTTCAGTGTCTGCCTAGGAATTGGAATATTACTGTTTCTGGGTTTGTAAATTATCAAACTGGATTCGCAAAAGTTTTCTTTTGATGGGTTTCAACGACTCTCGTTGTTGAAACTCGACTGTCGTCTTCGAAATTATCGCCAGGATAATGACAACAGTGTGCCAACACCCAACCCTCAAGTCACTACTATGACGGGTATCGTTCCAGATCAACACCAATTACAAGACCATGAAAATAACCACATCCCCCTGAATAGTAACGACCCCAGTCGCGAAAATATTTCCCTCCCCTTGAATAGTAATGACCCCAGTCGCGAAAATATTCCCCTCCCTTTGGATAGTAATGACCCAAATCCCAGAAGTACAAGTGAGGGTGAAAACCCCATAAATGACAGTGTCCATCCTAATATTCTTGCTGAAGCGAATTGTTTGGTGAAAGACACTCCTGTTTCGAATGCTGCTACTACTATTGCCACTACTACTAGTCAACATGAAAATCGATCTCCAATTACTTTGACATCGTCAGTTGCAAATTATGAGTCTGATTCTGGTGAGATGGAAATTGATGATGGCGGTGGAAATAATAGGCAAACATTAGAGAATGACGGTGCTGATGGGGATGCAAAAGAAATTGAAACAAGTTCATCTACAGCAGCTAGTGCAGCAGTTGGAGATGTTACTCTTGAACATAAATCAGATGAGACAATGCATACAGACGAAGGGTTGTCCCAAGACAAGAATCAATCCATCAACAGCTCAGACGCTCTGAAATTGAACGACAAGCTAGTCGTACTGGCAGAAGTGGTGCCAAGAGCTGAGGAGGAGGAGGAAATGCCGCTACAACGCCTTGTGGAAAATGAAGGTAATTGCAAACCCGTGCTGAGTCCACCTATACCTGTCAGTAATGTGCAAGGTACGCATCGTGACCTTGCTCCTTCTGGTGCTGCTACCGTAAGAAATCAAAAACGACCAATCGCATCAGACACAAGATCAACCGTTGAGCATGCGAATCCTAATCCCCCCATTGAGATGCCCATAGGCACACTGCCACAATTTTGTATTTTTTGTCCTGCAAGTTTCAAGAAAAATGAAGGTAAATGAATCTCGTGCTTTCAGATTATACACGATTAGCTCCTGAGAAATCGTATCATAATTTATTTATTTTTGCTGCTGTGTATTTTTGTAGATTATGAAACCCACATAGTCCTGTGCAACCCAGTCCTTGCCAATATGACCAATTTTCGGAAACGAAAGTGTTTAGTCTGCAATAGAACAATTCGCCACTTCAATGTAACTGGCTTATTGAGGCACAGCATCAGTTGCATCATCATGGACCGCTCAAACAGATTAGCAAAAGAAGCAGCCTTAAATAAAGCACAAAAAGAGGCAGCAGTTGAGGTCACGAATAATGTGGAAGAACAGAATAACGAGATTACTACCAAGGCAGATGTACCCAAGGATAGCGATGTTAAACTGACTGCGGGGGCCAGTAGTATTGGCAAGTCTTCTCACGTTCAAAGGAATCCGCAGTCAAATTCTCAATCAACTTACAGCAAGGAACAGGAAGAAGAGTTGGAAGATTTTTTTCTAACCGAACAATTTCCCGCACCAAAACAGCTAACGCTGTTATCCAAGCAAACAGGATTGATATATGCTCAAGTTAAGGTATTATTTTACTTCTCTCGATAAAATTAATTTTGATGATTTTGAGTGCATATGTTATATACATTAGTATCTAACATCTTACTTGATATTCTTGGTGCTGCTAAATCGACTGTAAATGGTTTACTGTCTTACTTACAGGAATGGTTTGAAAGAAAGCGTTATCGCATGAATTTGGATGGAACGGCACCTGCTACTTCTTCACATTCCATACGAAATGCAAATAAATCACAATCTGGTAAATTACAATTTACGACACAACTGGCATTCATAATCATTGTTAATTACTCCCAGTTATAGTTAATTTTTAAAATTTTAACTCAGGAATCACTAGTGTTAAGTACTCTGCACAGAACATAACCATATTGACTACTTTCTTCAAGAAAAATATGCATCCCTCAACCATCGAGGTATCTTCTTTGGCCAGGAAAACTAAACTTAGAAGTCGTGATATTAATGTGAGTTAATCGGTGTTTCCACATTGCTTGAACAAATAGTATAGTGCAAATAGTTTAACAGAGATTTCACTATTTTTTCAGCATTGGTTTCAAATTTCAAGAAGCAAGATCCTAAGTCGTGAGCACCAGCATAAGAAAGTTCAACCTCCTGTAAGAAGCGCATCTCCCTCGACAAGTAATCAACTGTTAGATGAAGGTAATATTTATATAGCAATGCATAAGCAGAGGACAATTTAACTATGTACATTCTCCGATTTGGCAAATAGATTCAGTGGACGATGATAATGATGATGAGGTGAGCTCACACTCTTCTATGGAAGAAGGAAGAACCATCAACAACAAATCAACAATAAAACCAGTTCAAAGTTTCTCAGAGCTTTCGAGCGGTTTGCAGTCGATTATGATGGAAGCTTTCAAGAAAACTCCAAAACCTGCTGTATTAGATGTAATTCACTTGTCCCAGAAAACAGGTCTTTCAACAAGTGGTGTTACGGTATGCTGATGATTAATTCAGAGTTAATTTTCTGTTCAAATATATTTGTTAAGTTTGTACCATTTACCATGCTAGGCTTGGTTTGCAAAACAAAGGAAAGCTGGTTCTTCATATGGCTATCAGAATAATTCCCCATCAGTGTTGACCGGAAATAATGATGGATATGCTTCAAAAAATTACGACTTTGATGAACAGGAGGAACAATACCACCCAGGTAACGAATTATGCCGTAAAGTTGTCTGTTTCTCCACTTGTTTTATGAAAACTCGGCCACAGTAACAATACAATCTGCTATCTTAATAATGCTTCATATTATTACAGGAAACAATGTGAAATTGATGACTAGTCGACAAAAATTAGCCGCGATTAAGAAGATAACGTGTCAAGAAATTAAAGGCATTCTCACCGAGCGTAAATCTGTCATTGTTCAGATCCTATTACTCTTTGCCGCATCCGGGTCGGGTATACAACAAGCATTGGAGTTCGAATGTATGAATTTAGCTGAAGCACTTGAAACCAACAATCCCTTTACTCCCACTCAGACAACGTACTTTAGTGAATGGGAAGATGATTTCGTGATTGGGATGTATCCTGAGAAGAATGATCCTGGTTGGATTTGCGCCGTGGACGCATTCAGGGAGAAAATACTTAAGAATTGGTCCAGGGTGCTCGTGTTTGCCAAATTTACACAATGCTCTCTCGAGGAAGCAGCCGTCACCATCTTAAAGTTGACGTTGACTAGGGTGAGATTTAATGTATCCTTTCATAGCGATATAAATGTTGGGAATTATTCTGAACAAAGAACGTTGCTTTCAATTTACAGGGTCAGAAAGATATTGATGTTCAATGGGAAATGCTTCACTTATTCTCTCAACTTGAAACGACTGTGACATACAATTATCCAGACGAAGAGCTATATGATATCGACTCATCCGATTAGTCAATAGTTAAGTTATTATAAGATCGCTACTTATTTACTTATGGCCATACAACGAGAAATGTCGAGATTATATTTTTAATTTTCTACGAAACTTTTGATACCTAATTATGTTTGTCCACTTTACATACTCCTACGCTTATGTATCGAACTTATAAGTTTTAATCATTGGTTACTTATATTTACCCTTTGAAATAAACCAGGTTTAACCATTGATTGATTTCAAAATACGCATATGCAAACTTAAATATGTAAACCAAAAAGTTTACGAGTACAAACAAATACAAATTACTACACCCTTAATCTGCTGCATATCTACAATCAATTATGCACAATAATCTGAACAATGTAAATATTTTAAAGGCACATTTTATAAATATTACAATCACCGATGTATCCGTCGAGTCCCCCATTAAAAGTTTTGCACTTTGATCGCATGGAAGTCTAAATTATGAGTATCAAGGTCACGCAATCAGCAGCATAAAAGTCCATGCATCATGCACTATGCAATTATATTTGTTTGTAAAATTTTCTGTTTAGTGAATTCGGTAATGAGCTAGTAAAAGATTATTTAATTTTTTAGCCGGAGGCAGGGCTTATGGAACCATTATTTGTCTGTCTGGCTTGCGATAACTCTTTAAACTCATTCCTCGACCTGAAATTTGGTAAACATATCCACAGTATGGGTAAACTAGGAGTTAAGTTTGAAGATGAGCAAAATCGGTCAAATGGTAGACCAGAGGGTGGATAACGAATCGTTACTAACGATTGAAGTACGTAGTTTTTTGGGGACCAGTAGGGTGACCCCTACTGATTTACTAAAATGGTCATAGGAAGCTGAAATTTTGTATGTCAGCATGGTGCATTCAAATATGAAATAAATTTCCATTTTTTTGACCGGGAGATAGAACTGGACGACTCACGCTGCTTTTTGAAATTAGTTTAAAAAAATAAAATTCAATGAAACGACGTAAAGTATAAGAATACTTTTTCGAGAGGGACTCTCCAGGGTGACCCGTACTGGTTTTTCAAATTAACCAAAATAGCTGAAACTTTAATGTTGGATTATGGAGCATTAGTTTATTAAATAAATCATTTCCAACCTCTCATCAGTCTCATCATAGATAATTGAAACTTTTAACCTGAAGAATAGAGTTAATGGACATTGATAAAATAATTTTGCATAACATATCAACTATGTACATATTTAAGACACTACTTAATAATGAGTATAATCTGGTTGAATTAATATTTAAAGCATGTTGCATTCATAACTTGTTCGTACACACTTTTGTCACTTTCTACAATACGTTGATAACTTTAACTAATACTTTCTTTAAATTTTGTCAAGTTTGTATCAGAAATAAACACAAATTGGGTCATCACAAACAACACGAACCGATAATTTTGTACTGCCATTTTTATATCGAGTTGGATTTTTTATCAGCCATCAGTGCCTCTCTCTCGACATCCTTCCGGTTTGTCAGAATGACCGACCCCACAGCACCGAATATGACAGAGGTCAACATCGCCAAACCCTGTGCAACAATTAGGCATGACATGCGTTTACCCGCTTATGATACACAATACACATACAAATGCTGCATATTATGTAGTCGATTAGTGACTGATTACAGAAATAACTTACCCCTGCCCCCAACTTAAGTTCGAATAATTGGCATCCATTTTCACCAGTGCAGTTAAATTGAAAAATTTTTACTCCTGAAACAATGAACAATATTCCAGATGTCGCCAGGAGCAAGGCCGCAAAAGAGTGATAGAGAAAGTCCTGTAATGAACAATTTTCGTCATGTATACAAAGTACAAACCGAAAAGTCGCAAAAATGTGAGCTTATTACGTAAATCGCATTCCTTGTTTTCCAGTAAAATTCGACGCTGTGACAATACAGCCAGAGGTTCAGACTGGAAAGAATAAAGCAAACTGTGCTAACTCCCATCAAATACAGCTCACGCCACAAACTTCGTAGCTCATTGTCCGTAAATTTGTCCCGATGCTGGTCTCGATTGTGGGTGTAATCCGAGAGAAAATAGGCCGAGTAGCTCATGGCCATAATAATCCCTGCCAGTGTCTGCATATTTATGTACACAATTCATAATTATTTTGCAATCATTTATGCAACTACGACAGGATATAATAAATACCAATATGTTTCGAAGATGGGCACTTACGATTGTGAGTAATTTCAATTGTCCAGGAAGGATTTTAATATATCCATAGTTTGACGTCATGTTATCGATTCTATAAGTAGAAGAATTTTTTTAATGCAAAATTTAAACTAACAGGATAATAATGGATTAGTTTAGCAATTAAAATGCGTTTGTGTGCATGTTGTAAGTACATATGTAAGTAGCGTTCGATTTTGTTTTATGGATTTGTATGAGTGGAATTTTATCCAAATCAGACAAAGCTATCAAAGAAATTTACCCTGAGATAATATGTTCTGAATTTCCATTCACCGTTATTTACTATATATTATTGTGATTATTTATCAATACATTTATCAGTATGTATATGTAGCAGGACAACCTCGCTGATTGATTCTGCTGTCAATTTGTCACAATAAAATTATTGAGTAACTGGACATTTGATATTCGACTGTGACATTGAAATAAACACGTGAGATTGGACGTCCTGTATAATACGACTTGCGTTTTCTATGAATTCTATGTGATCTGTGACATTTAGTGGTGTTATACAAGTACGTATCTATGTATCATGTCCACAACAAGTATACAGTGCGTGTGCGTTGTCTAAACAAACTGAGAAAATTCCAATTGTCCCTGGTCTAATTTCTCATTTGGTTAGAAAACCTAGGATGAGTTACCTAATTATAAGATCGGTCCAGATGGTGAAGGCCCTGAGTCGTTAATATCTCGCGTCAATCAATCAAATTGAGCCAATTCCTTTTTGATACGCTGTACACGAGAAATTCTAATTTGAATGCTCCATGTAAAGTTTGACTTTGTCACTGACAGATTGCCTCCAGCTTACTGACCATGATATAGCAAAATGGGAGTATGTATGTGTAAGGTCCAACATTGCATGCGCCAGGATAGCGATCTTCTGCTTCTTTCTACAAATGCAGTTTTGGCGAAATCCGGTATTGTCTGGTGCCAACCAAATGTAACCGGTCTGATCATTCGCTTGCTATTTTTGCAGATCAGGCAATAGCCACTTTGTACAAGGTAAAGGTAACCTCTACCTAGTGGATATTTTTTGCAAAGGATTACGTGCACAACAATGAAATCAACATAACCACTGACTGAATCTACATATTACTCCATTTGTAGCAATATCCACAGCAAATATTTACTGCCCTCGGCACTCAAGAATGGTACCGATTTCATTTATGCAGTGATGTCCTGTCCTATCTCAAGTAAAACAACATAGTCAACCACACTAAGCGATAGAATCAAATGAATTGAATTCCAAATTGATCAAACTCCAGTAACATATATCAAAATTGTATTTATATTGTCCAAAGGTCACATAAAACTAATTGTTCCTCAGTTTTTCAAAACATAAAAACTAAAATTCATATAAACTATGAAACAATTGCATAGCTAACAATTGTAAGTATTTTGATATAAAATTGTAAAATAAAGAATCAGGAGATGCTTACATATATTTAATACTAATATTAATATTATAGCTACACGTCTATTGTTTTTGAGCTGCGTATGTTTGTGAGTTTGTTATTAATGTAAAATTTGTGCAAATATTATGCGACAACGTCTTTCCCATGGACGATAATGTATTCAATGGTTTTGGGAAGATCCTTCAGTCTTATTATTTCGCCATCTACGTCCGCAAAACCTGCAATTTAGGTGAAATTTTACAGATTTCTCCTACAATGCAAATTCTGCATACATGTTTGACGCACTTAAGTGTATGTATTGTGTTACCTCTTTTTCCAACGAACTTGACCAATTCTCCTCTGTAGCGCCTCCAAGATCTCACTAAAGCTTCAGAAAAACGGCAGTCTCTCCTCAGAAATTTGCAGTTAATAAATCTATAATTATATTCCTTCATTAGTCTTTAACGGCATCCAAGTATTGGGCAAAATATTGTTAAATTCCCTAATTTTGGTAAATTATTACCGAATTGTTGGCGTCTCCAGGTTTTTCAGGTGCTCATGTACAATTGAACGATCTGACGGATTGAACAAGCAGTTGCGAAACCTATTTAATTGTAGAAGACTTAATTATTAACAATGTTCCTGTCACAAATAATGATTAGTTTAAGTAGACTAATTATCTCATACATGCTGCTTTCGGAAAAGTTTACTCGCAAAGATGGGAAAATATATCCCAAAGATTTTCCAACTTTTCGCCATCGATATTTGCTGGCCTGCGTCTCGATGTGTGGTAGTTTGTAAGTTATGACGCAATTGTTAAATCTGTAATATTACTTATTCAAGAAAGTTATACATGTCAACAAATTTATGGAATATCTATGTAGGACTTACCTTATTTCTAAGCCGTCCAACTGCCTCTGGGTAGGCAAATTTTGATCGCGAATTACTGTGGACGATCGCGTGCTATAGTTGCGGTGATGTCCTTTAACACTCATTTTTATGATACTTTGAATATTTTTGGTTTTAACTTGCGGGAGAATATGTAAGAATGCTCAACTGAATAAAATCGAACCAGAATAAAATCTATGTATATGTATAATATACTAAATGGAGTGCGTACAAGGCTGTGGATTGTGGAGGCTGGATTGCAGCTTATCTTAATAACCTAATCTTATTTATTGCATTATCCAGGACGGAAAAATAACATCATTGTGTGTTCTGTATGTGATGGCGCATTGAACAACCAATTCAGTCCCTATGTTTACTATTCACCATTCTCTACGTTCAAGTCAAGTCTGATAGCATGAGTAATCATTCATAGTTCAACCAACGTGTATGAAGTCAAAGAGATAATGGACTTTGGGTCATTAGTTATGACAGTTTTATGTGCAAGTAACTTTAGTTTAGATATGAAAGTTCCATTTCTTAAAATTTGACTCTTTATCATTTCGCAGGATTCAGAGTTTGTTTATTTAGTTTATAATTTAGCCAGTCGTCTCGTGTTTTCCGATTTCGTGGGCCCCAGTCCGACGAAGGCTTGATGGCATTGGTGAATTTCTGTTGTGACATTATGTGTTAATTTTTGAATTACGCGATAATCTTGTAAACATAATACGTAATACAATAACATTTATTAGTATGTATGGACACGCTGACCTTCCATAGATTTGAGCCAGGAGTTTTGTAGATCACTTGAATTGCAAATATAGGAACAATTGACACAGCACAAATCGCAAGTCCCCTGCCAAACACTGAAATTAAGTAGAAAAACATATATATATATACATATTGTACGCATAAGATAGATTGCATATTGTCAGACGCATGCATATACATAGATATGTTATAAATGCAGAATATCCAATAATGAACATGACATAAGATATGTAAAAGAAATCGGAGAAACTACATAATTAAGAATAATGCATGGATGGATTGTGTGGCATGTGAGACTTACTTAACGCAATTGTTGGAAATGGGACTCCACCATGAGTCAGCGTCGTCGAGGTTAGCAAAGTGTACAGCAAAATGGTGATGAACGCAACGGGGATAATAAATGCCCAACAAATTTTCCAAAACCACCCAATCTTTCTATTCAGCATAAACTCCAGATCCGTACAAAAGTTACCAACTCCATATATCCAAGCAATCCCAATAATTTCCAGTGTTGACATCACAAAAATTACAAAACCGGCACCATAATAATCCACAAGAGTTATCAAAAACTGACCACCCTGTTTAACAATTCATCCGTTGTACATTGTGTTGCATATTGTGTATATGCAAAAAGGTTTATGTAAATATATGTCTCACCGGTGTAACATAAATCAGGCCGACACTAAATCCGCCAAGACATACGATACTTGTGACAACAAGGCGTTTTAAGCCAGGAAACTCTTCAACAATGAACAAATAAAAATTATTATTATTAATTAGCTCTAGGCTACTTTATGTGCTGTTTTTTCATGCAGGAGCATGCATTTTTTGAGCTAAGATAAATATAAATGAAATTACCGTCACAAATCACTGTAATGATCCCATTAGCAATCGATATTGCCGTACCAATTCCCAGTGTAAGGAGCATTGAAAAAAATAGAATTGCGTGCAATTGAGGCACGATTTTAATTTTTGAGATCGCGTCAGGGTAAGAAATGAATCTGGAAAGAAATTTACCGTCAACCGTGGGCATTCTCTTTATTAATACTCACTACTGAGTTCTATGACTCACGCTAGTCCAGGTCCACTTTTTACCACATCAGAAATTTCAACGTTCAGTTCAACAGCTAGATTTCCACAAGTCGCAAAAACTGTCAAGCCGGCCAGGAGACTCGTAAATACGTCCAAAATGTTGATAATAAACGCATCTCTGGAAAACGTGTCAAATTGAATTAGACATATAGCCCGACCTACGTTATTGCACACCATTTAGAATACGTTTGATATGTGTAAATCGGTGCATGATCTTTAACCAACCTGTAGATATTATGAGTAAAAGAATTATAGGAAGCGTTCATTATGGTGGCACCAAATCCGGTAGAGAGCGAGAACAGACACTGGGTAATTGCTGCATTTTTAAAAATAAACAAATAAGAAAACGGTGAAAATTCATTAATATACATGTTAACGATTTTACCTGCATACCACACCTGTAGGTTGTGTATGAAAACACCAAAAACTTAGTTCCCATTACACACGTACATAGATTTCCATTTTTAAATTAGCCTTATCATTACCCTTGGCTCTAATATTTTGTCCCATTGTGGTTTAATAAAGTACCACACACCTTAGGAAAAATAAACTTTAGCAAAGACTTCAGAAATTACTTTGATGGAGTCCAAACTGTTACACACCTTCCCACGAACCCGGTAACGTTAACCCTCTTATCAACAGAATAACTAAGACAAAGTAAGGAAATATAGCCAAAAAGTAGGAGGCTTTTCCCGAGCTTTTGATTCCTTTAAAAACTGTGAGAAACACCAGAGTCCAGACGACAAAGAGACAAATTGCAAGTTTCAATTCTGGAACACCAACTCCATTTTCTATGTTTTCAAGCTCCATTGTAACTTCCTTTCTACGTACATAAATACATGGGCATACATATTTAGTACTAAATACATACCCACAATAATTACAATATTATGTAACACTCATATAATTCTTAGAGGCAAACACATTCTTACTTTAAGTAAAGCTCTGGAATACTTTCTGTCATGTTTTCTCCGCACTCTTGCCACTCGTCAGCACAGACAGTCCAGGGGAGGACAGATTTAAAAGATTGCAACAAATAATACACAGTAATTGCCATTATAGCGCAATAGTACGAACCACCGCATATGCTCGCAATTAATTCTCCATAACCTACGCCTGAAAATATTTTATAAATTTAGACCTCAAGTGGTTTAAAATATCGATTACCTAATAGCTGCGTTACCTTTCAACAGAGGAACTGCACCCCAAGCTTTCACTTGTCCATACGAGGAAAACTGTCCCCACGACAGCTCCATAAAATACAAGGGCTTTCCAATCAAAAACAGCACAACAAAATATGGCAGTAGGAATGCACCACCTCCGTTCTTGTAGGCTTGTGGAAATTCAATTATACCATGAAATATGTATAGAGTAATAATCATACGAATTAGATCTACTATTATACCTGTAAATGGGAACCGCCACACATTGCCAAGGCCCACAGATAAGGCAATGCATGAGAAAAGAAATTCCACAGGATTCGACCACTCAGCACGATTTCTCGAGACGGGGTCCGGACTTTCTTCTGCACTTGCTTCTTTTAAACAATTCTGAGGAAGGAAAAGCATACGGTGATTTGAGACAGAAGGGACGTAGACCTAGATTGATATTGCGAATTTATAATTATGATGAACCTTTTGGTCATTCTGGTGCACAGAGATCAGAGGAAGGTGCTGAAAATTATTTACTTCACTCAATCCCACTTTTTTGTGTGCACTTCCCATTTTTTGTACCTATTTTATTTTATAAGTTTTTCAAGCAATTATTGATATTTCTAAAACTGAGTACTATCAAAAACTTTAGGTGAATGGCGTCCATGCAAATGATTGTATAAACAGCGTATTTAGTATTGACGTATGTATGCATGTACATATGCATGTGCGATGACAATGAATTTCACCTGCTTTCTCAGGCCAGACTGACCAGTATTGAATGATTTAATATGGGAATAAGTCGTTATATCTATTTGTTATTAGGTCATACATACGAGTAAAATTCGCTATCAATTTGCAAGGCTCTTATTAGTGACATCAGATCTCGGACGTGTTGCGTATTTCAAACCATGTGCTCCTCTCATGCAATAAAAAGGATCATCAATGCAGGCATCAATAGGTACAAGAAATCGTCACGGCGGCTTTCAGAGTTGGGTTTTGCTTTAATCAATTTATTGTTCCGAATTTAGCAGTAGTGCTAACTTGCAAGCTTGAGTATGTGTAATTGGAAGGGTAATTGCTTTCAAGTGGATCTGGACATTTTATACGTGAGATTATTCACGTATGTACATAATTCCGTATACAATTTACATTAACAACCAACCGTCATGAGTCTGGAAAAGTGTACAGAGAGGTGTGTTTAATGGCATGGATTATATTTTATATGAGCTCATTTGCAAATTAATGAACTATGCAGCTATTAAATAATAGTTGCGAAATTAACAGTTAGATATGCATCTTTATTATACCTACATGTATGCCAATGTCTACAGTCATTGGTCTTGGATTTTTTAGTGGAGTGGACGATAATTAATATCAAAACAGATTTTACAATGTACGTCACCTTAAAATGTTCCCCAAACCGCGTACATTTTCAGGAAGGTACAGGAAGTTTGTTTGCGGTGCCGAGTTGTGTGGAAAGGGAAAGTCCACTACACATTGCAGATAGATATTTATGTCATATGTATGAATGTACATTCGTAGTAATGCATGAGTAAATAATTTTCCGCACATATATAAATGTCAGCAAAGAATTATATAGAATTTCATTAAACTTTTGTCTTTCGTGGTGGACTTCAGCAACTACTTATTCAATCTGCTTGTTTTAGTTGGCATAAAACAAGGTTTTAACATGAGTTTAAATTCGCGTAATAATGTCATCAGGGGAGACAACAGGCCAACAGATTACGAATATGCTTGTAAACTAATAAAACTTACTCTTAAATAAAATAAAATTTATGTAGTTTAAAGTATGTACAATTTTACTTTTTCTAGGCCTGAGCAAACATGTCTACACAGTTGAAGACACGACCCTTGAAGTTGGCACACAATTTTCCACCGAATTTCATCAATGGACAATTTGTTTTGTAAGTGCTCCCTTCTACTGTGGGTACTTTGGTGCTGTTTACGAGTGCGAGGAGGCGAAGCAGTATGTGGTTGTACATCGGGGGACAAACAATGTCTTGGACGTTGTTGAAGATTATCTTGGAGTTTTAAGAAATAAATGCACTCGCCAAAAAACGGAGGCCTTTCTCGTCGTGGATCTCATTGTACAAAAAATCAAAATTAGTCGTAACGGTTATTCATTGTCCTTCACGGGTCATTCACTAGGAGCATTTCTAGCTGAGCTATCCGTCTATTTTTCCACCGTGATGCTAGACTATTGTAATGTCCATGCAGTGACGTTTGAAAGCCCTGGGTCCCTTCAGTCTATGAAGTCTATTTGCTGGCATCCTTCACAACTTATTTCTCAAAAGAATGAGACCGACGAGACTTTCGACGAGAAAGATGACACTGATGGTAAAAATTCAAAGATTTCAACATCCTTGCAAATGATATCGTTAAGCACTTCTTGCCATTCCCTGCAATCTCTTTCCCCCGCTGACTTTAGCCACGTCATCAAACGCCTGGATATCATTTCATACGTTTGCTACCCAAATATCATTAATATCTGCAACGAGCACGTCGGAACGTTGTACGCCATAAATATTTGCATGGATGGGCATAAAATAGGCTGGCCCCACCGTCTATTTAGTAGTCACAGTATTCAGGGAATTGTGGAATGGTTTCAAAAATTTACTGCAGGAAATCAACGCTGCGTTCGATTGTACATGGCAGACTGGCCGAAAAAGTACACCGAGTCTCAAATGTTCTTCAAATATGTACAATTCCAGGATGGGATGCTCAGCGTGGAAAATCTTTTATTGGATGAAAACCATGATACTCGCCTTCGTTGGTCCAAAAGTTTAAAGAAGAGTAGATCTCTGGTTGTCGAGTCATCAATTAAAATGGAGAAATGGGTCAACAAACAAAGAAAGAAGTTCAAGCTCAAGCTGAATGGAAACTTTGATCCCGTTCATGGCTCAGCCAACGCTCTTCCTCTTCATCACTTTTCCCAACCCTTGCAAAACTTTCTCAACTACTTTTACCAGAAGAGGCAACACATTTTTACTCTAAGCCATGCATCTCAACGGGACAAACTGCATACTTTTCTCAGCGAAACGTGGAAAGGATTTCAAATGCCCCCAAACGTATCAGACGAGCTGTTAAATTTTACTTTAAAACAAAATAAGTTGCACATCATGGAAATTGTTTGCAAAGAAACCAACGTTCATGATTTTCGCTCGAAAATTTCTTGTTGGCTGGAAATGACTGGATTTACTGTGGAAGAGCTTCTAAATGAAAATTTGATTAATGAAAATATGCCGAGATTGCAAGTGACCAAACATATTCAGTAATAAAATAAATCTCTTATTCCAGTTTTAAAGATTATCTTAATTTTGGGGCGTGTGGGGTATAAAGTTTATTACTGCATTTTTTCCTGATAAAACATGCAGCAGAAATTAATCAATTTTATGACTTATTGTTAAAGTCCAATGTTGAAATTTTATTAAATGGGATTAACTTGTTATACTAAATAAGCGTACACTTATGCAATATGCATTTGAGTTGCTCACATGTTGCCATCATGTTGCTCACTTACGTAAATGCATATTATGCATGTGTACAAAATAATTGCATATGCTTTATATATCCAGCATTCCTTTCCTCCAATTTCTTTTAAAATAAAAAAATATTTAATTTTATGTACTCATTTTATCACTTTAAAACTTGTTAACTCTAAAATATCATATTTTAAATATGTAACCATAAATCATGTATCATTGGTATATAACTAATCCAAACTTTGGATTCCAAAGTCTATTCCACCCTGGGCAGAATAACATCAATCAATGTAGATGTAATTATTTCGCTAACGATTCATTATTATAAGGTGTCTGTATCAATAAACTATACCGAAAAAGAGTACGTACAAATAGTCTAAATAGTAGTAAATAAACTAAAAATGTGTATGTATGCCGCATACAGTATGCGTATTGCGTATTCGGTATTAGATTAAATGGACACAAGAGTAAGAGTATTTACCAGGGTTGGGCAAAATACATGGGTTTCAAAATACAAAATACAAAATGAAAATACAATAGTGTGAACCTTCAAAATACAATTACAAAATACAAAATACTCGAATCTCATCAAAATACAAAATACAAAATACTTTTGCCCAAAATCGTCGAAATTTCAAAATACAAAATACAAAATACGTATTTAAAATACATTTCAAAATACAAAATACAAATTCCAGATTTGACCCTGAAAATTCAAGTCAAGCCCAAATTTCAAAAGTTTTGCTAACTTATTTTATTTCACAGCGGTATTGGGAATTTAGTAATTATGTTTCTGAGCATGTGTGAGGTCATATCTTATCTAGAAAATAATATGAAGATAAGATGATAAGCCCGCTATAATTTCAATCTAACTAATTTTTATCTTTCTCGCACTGCAAAGTGTCGATAATGAAGTAAAAATAAGTTTTAATAACCATCCTAACACTTGAGAGAAATTTGAAAATAAACAAATTAATCATCTGCATAAACATAAAATAGTTTATGTAGTTTTCTGGCACAGCCAAGAGTCCAAAAACTGAAAATAATCCATGAGATCCTGTTTAGGAATAGATATATTGCATGGACCAACTCTTGTTCTTCTCATGAGTTCGTCTCATATTTGCCAAATGTATTTTGTAAAGTATTTTTGTATTTAAAATACATTGATCGACCGAAAAATTAGAAAATAGAAAATACAAAATGCAAAATACCCGGCTAGCTTCAAAATACAAAATACAAAATACTTTCATCTGAACCATGGCCCTCAAAATACAAAATACAAAATAGTATTTTGTATTTTGTAATTTGTATTTTGTATTTCAAATAGTATTTTGGCCAACCCTGGTATTTACGTGTACATGGAAGCAGAGAAAGCATGTTGCTGGACTGGAATCTCTAGTCAGCTCAGTCAGCTGAACCAGGTGGTGAAGTGTGAAGTGTCATTTCACATTAAATTGATTATTTTAATTAATCAAGTCCCTCAGTTTTTAACTGAATGGAGTAAAGCCATAAAATAAAATACTTAATAATGAAGTAAATTTATTCATGGCTGGTTCATCAGTTCATCACAACACACAATGGTTACGTCTGTTTCTGACACGGCAGCGTCGTTTCTTGAAAAGTTGCCACAATCCGGCAAGTACTTTTTGTACGTATCCAGCGCTCTAGCCCTTCTTGGAGGAACGAGCTACCTCATCTACAAGTGGGGCAAAGGTCAAACCAAGGGGCGCCACTTGGAGCGACGAAGGAACACCGTGGACTTGAGAAAACCACCCCAGTTGTAAGACAACCTATATCTTTGAATGCAATATATATCGAAATAATTTAATGTACTGACTTGATTATCAATCTACATTAATATTGATAACTTTGTGGGTTTGTTCTTTTCTTACAGATGGAACACGGCCATCTTCTTTCCCGACTACAAGGCAAAGGATCCTAATTCCAAAACGGCGCAATTGTTGTGGTATTTTCAGGAGGCGAAGATTAGCATTCAAATTTGCATTTATAACTCTTCTTTGAAAGAGTTAGAGGAGGTTATCTTTGAAAAATTTCGAGAGGGCCTGTTGGTCGAAGTGGTCGCTGGAAACGAACGCACAGCGGCTCCGTTCCGGGAACACGGCATCAAGGTCGGAGTGTACCCTGCAATCGACGCAGAATACTTAATGCATCACAAATTCGTAATTTTCGATAGTGAAGCAGTAATGACGGGATCTCTTAATTGGACTCTTGACGTAAGACATTTCAATACTTTGAATAACCATTTGCGATTCACTGACAACTTTTTCGGATGCAGTGTGTGAAGTACGTTCTAAACATGGTGATACCTGTTTTTTTTGCAGGGTATAACAGCCAACAGGGAAAATGTTGTTATCTCCACGGACCAGCGTCACATCAAAAAATATCTTCGAGAGTTTTACAAATTAATGAAGGAATGTGAGGATGCGAAAAGCGTAACGTATTCCTCGTCTAATGTATTCGCCGATTAAAATCATTCCCTTGTAAACTTTCTACGGGCAGAGTTAAAGTGGATCACCTTAATTTATTTGAGACTTACTCAATTATGATAACATTTTACCTGAATGCCTGACTCCTTTTACAGGATATCCTTCTGTACATAATTAATATAATTCCATTTGAATTGGAACTGGACTATAATTGTCTTCTCTAAAAAACCAACCTGAGTAGTTTGTAATATGTGGTATGGTTAAAAAATACAGTTTTCTCAGACTTGCATTTTTCTCTTCAAATTTATGATACAGACAGAACCTTTTAGAAAGTATCTAAAGAAAATGATATACATATTTACATATGTATAATGTATATTAGCAAGAATAACAGAGGAGGAAACATGGCAAACCGGAAAAGTCAGACTGAGATATTCCTCTAAAGTTTATAATAGTTACCAGCAATGCATAATACAGATACACCTCGGATGGTGCATAATTTAGAGAAATTGTTTTTGGAATTTATCAATCATGATTCCTAAATATATAAAAGTATAATCAAGCACTATTCTTATCTTGAGGTAAAGGTTTTTTTTAAGTTGCATATTACTTTATTCGATCAATTACGTTTTTGGAGTTCCAAGTTTCTTACTCGTATCATAATTATGATAAAAATCTCTTATTTTGTTTATTGAATATGGTTAAAGCTCCACACCTTCGAGCTCCATGTAAGTAATTTTTGCGTCATCCGACATATACTTGGTAGTACCTCGAACCACCATCCAGTTATTTAAGCAAATATAGTACTGTAGCACTATATTTCTTTCTTCGTATCTCCGAAATCAATGATCTGTCTCCTGATTTAATTATAATACAAATACGTTCATTCAAATTTAAATGTTCAATTAATCACATATTGTTAAATGAGTTATTAAATATTCTACATTAAGAACAATTTTGGTTGTTTGAATTGACATAATGATTGTTGAGTACTTTGTATTATGAAATGCTTTTGTTTTTGCCTGGTGGTATTTATAATATTAATGTCGCTATGCATTTGACTTTTGGTGTGGTAAGATTTTGCCTAAAGAAGAATCCTCTTCTGACTGCAGAATGCACTCATCTCTCAAATATGGAATTGAACAATGCAACAAAAATTACAATCGCCCATTTACTATACTTTATTAGTCACCGACCGCAACGGTCAATCAAACATGCATACAAGCTCTGCCTTTCCTAACTGTCAAGGCATTGACGCAGTCGTTTGGTGACAGAGGAGATGGATACGTGCCAAAGTTGAAATCATTCTGGGCTAGAAGAAGTGTTTTATATGCTTTGGTGGTGCAGTGGTGTGAAAACTGGTAAACTGTATTTGGACATATTTCTCATTAAAACGAGACAAAACCACAATTTTTTTATTCCCTTCTTTGGAAACTCCATTTAATCCTCTGTGTATTTGTATCACGGGATTATTATGATGCAGCAGGTATAAAGATGCTTCAGCTAGCGTAGTTTTTTCTGCTTCAATTTTGATAAAAACTGTCGCGAATTCAGTTTTTGTGTAAGTGGAATGATAAAGGTGGGCTGTGCTGCACATCAATCATTTTAAAGATGATTCTTGTCTTGATTCTTCCAATAATGGTCATTTCATAATGCATTTTAGTCATGAATCTCCTTCACCTTCACCTCGTGCAACACTAATCCTAAGGTCCATATACATATCCTCTTATACCTTGTGTCACATTGAAGCCAGCCTGTGTGGAATCTAAATCTGGATATCTGATGAAGCCCAAGTAGCCAAGCCTTGATCCCATCTCTCTCTCTTTCGCAGGCTTTTGGGCTGGACAACATACATATTTTGACAATGATGAATTTGACCACAAGTTTGCATAATGGGATCCCTCCCTTCTTACAATTCATTTCTTTTATGCATAATACAGATAATTTGGAAGTTCCAATTTATAACATGCCCATCTTCTTGCACAATGCAGGCAGTGGGCATAATTAAAAATGAGCCAGTCAGAAGAGTCTGATGACAGAAGAAAATTAATGTTCTCCAGCCACAGCAGCCAGAGGAGTCGCCATGCAGTCGTCGCTAAACATGCCTAAAACTACTTTTTCTCGCTCTGGAATAATATTTAGTAATGAAGAGTCAGCAAGGTGCCAAGTGTAACTTTTAATTGTGATACCTTTGACCAAACGTAGCGCGTTTATTGCTCGTGCTCTTTATTTTTGTCGCAAATCAATTTAAAGACGCATAATTTTATGCAAATCCGTCTGCCATGCGTGGGCTCTAATTGCGCTAATAATGAGTCTGTTTTGACTGTTTTATTGGAAAGGGGATTCAACATTTCAGCATCTCTAACAGTTTACGCCCTGCATCTCATACATACGTTCACCCACAAACCAAATCTCAATTTTGCTCTTGACATGAGAGACCTGACCAAATAAATACACGATGTATGTACCAAGTCATTTGCATCTCACATTAACTCTCAAAAATATATGAGCCCTGATTCTTGGCATCTCATCGCGGTGTGAGTTTCAGTTTTTTACCAGAATCTTTAGCTTCTATTCTTCTAAGTTAGAAGTTCTAACTTCTAGCAGCGTGTTATTTAAAGACAAATAATTTTTATTTTTGAATTTAGCAGTTTTTTGTTGGTCCTTTCTATCCATGACCAACTAATGATGATGGATGGCCTAATCACGTATCTACTATCCATATTTTATTACATTTATTTCTATCTCATGCATGTGTAATTCGTGATGTTCAGTTTTTTTGAACTTTGAAAAGACGGAGAATATGTATAAGGCATGAAGGAAACGATAATTTGTAGTGCTTGAACTCGATCATTTCAAATTAGGTAAGACGACCAAATATATATTGCTAATAATCATAATTAATGTCTGATCACTGAGTTAAACGCCAAGTTCTTTTTTGTTGTCTGTTACAAAATGTGTAGTAGATACATCTGAAAAAAACAAGGAAATGGTTCAAGAGCATCATTCATGTGCTCTGGATAAATTATGTGCAGGCTAATTGAACGCAATTTAATATGTGACAATATCATTCCAAAAATATTTGCCAAATAAGACGATGCTAGTCAAATCATAATTTTAACGAGAGTCGCTCGCTGCCACACGTATCGCATTTTCCTGTAACGCACAAGTAGACTTCGCCACAAGCCATAATAGACCATGGCAAACGAAACCAATAAATTAATTAGTTCGCATTCTGCAAACTATAACAATGTATCACACACATATCATTTATGTACATCGACGAATAATGCTGGCAATAAAACGACCTTAACCTCTGAATTCATTCTCAAGATTTGCAGAAAAAAACAACAAGTCAATCTCGACGGCTTAGTCATTTTGCCAAGTTCCTTCCTTCTTGTACTTATTTGGAAATGGATTCCTTCGACCATACAAACGTTGCTGTCAACTTGAGAATTTTGAGTTTGTTTTTAATTGTGTTGGATTTGCATTTGTTATACATGTTTTGTTAGCGCTGGCTTCAGCAACTTATCGATCCAGCGTATTGATAAAATAATAAACAAAAACGCGTCAGTCAGCCATGCCCATAAAAAGCGGTTAGGAGACTCGGCAATTGTGAGTAAAGGGCACTCGCCATTCTCATAATTCTATTATCATTTTGACACTATCTCTTCAGGCGTCGCAGGCAAGTGGTCATGTACTCCACACAAATTCGTGGTCGGAGGCACAAGTGTAGAAGGGGAAGGTTGCTTCCTGAGAGAGTCGATGGCACTGCTATTGATCCCTCGTACGTAGATATGTAAATAGCACAATATCCGCATCACAAATATTCGCAATCGCGAAGCCAGAGTGTTACTGACTCCTTATAATAATGCCAATAATTACGATACTGAATAATGATAATAGGCATAGAAAATTTAGTAAGTAAGAATACAACACCATTAATACAGCGACAATCAGCGGCAAATAAACACCATACGCATTTGTGCCGGATTAAATAACAATGAGCTGAATGACTTCTGAGACTCTGATGGTATTAATTGCAATTAAAAACGTCAGGGAAGTAATTAATTGCACAATATTATTAATTGCACAGAGTGTATGCATGCTGGTACAAAAGGATACTTCAAGTCATCCAGTAGGTTCAATCTGATTTAGCACGGTTACGGTACAGTTCTTGGGATATAATAAACCGTTGCAAACGAAATGTAGCAAAGGGGTGAAAACACACGGAATTGTCTTCGTGGCACACCCACAACGTCTTTCAGCACTTTCCCGTCATTGTCTCACATTACCCCACGTCTCATTTTGCCCCGCTTTGACACCCCACCCGCGTACTTCTAACGTACACGACCATACCTTTCAATAGACACCCCACATGACAAAAGTCATTTTTCGACATTCGACACCTTCCACACGGTCATGGAGTCGTCGCACGTCGAAATGATGGCGATTTCTGAAATCCCCGTCCAAAAATACGTCTAAAACGGTGGAAACAAAAAATTCGACACCTTTGACCGTTGGAGTCGTCATCGTGACGCCGTGACCTTACGACCTACAACGCCCATCTTCGAACTCATCCCGTCCCCAAAAATTAGAAACACGTTGGCGAAAACCGGATGCCGAAATTCGAATCCGTTCTAAAGTTATCGTGGATACGGACAGACGGACAGACAGACGGACAGACGGACAGACAGACAGACAAGACATTTCCATAAAGGGGTTTTCACCCCTTAATAATTAGCAAAAAGTTGGGGCGATCAATCACCATAATATGCACAGTAAAAGGTACAAAGTAGATTACTAGTTATAGAATATCCTGAGTTACTCGTTTCCTATATTAATTGGAGGTGTATCGAGTCATAAATGTCATACTACATATTTTGCTAAAAAATCCCATCACTTTCCGAACAGCATAGTTGTGCTCAAGCCAAACTATTAAAATTATACGTCTTCTCCTGCCAACTTTTTTTAGGACTTTTGAGGGATTCTTATGGTAAATTGTACTCCACAATATCTTCTTGAAGGATGGATAGCCCTTAAGAGGAGGTTACTGGACATTACAAATAAATAATGAGCAAATTATTATGGGCTTGAAGCAAATGAATAATAATTGCAAAGGCACAGAACCAATAATTATTTATTGGAAATGGCAATCGATGGTCATCACCATCATTTTATTATCATTCTTATTTTCCAGTTACCATATACCACCATGAATGTATCGTACAAATGTATGTACATGTTTATGTGATATTGCCAAATATGGGACCGGAAGCTTCTCGCACCGTTGGACAAGCTTATAATCAGGCTGTTGTTAGTGGAAGTCTTTGATAATAAAAAAAATAGTCAGCACTAATCCACTAATCCACGTCTCACAATAATTGAAACTGAAGATGAATCGTTTTCCTAGCAATGGAACTACATACATATTAATTTACATGCATGCTAAACCTGTTCCCAGTATCAGTGGCATAATCATCATGAGTAAAATTGTACATCTAATTGTACGTCGATAATCTTATGCTACTTTCTTTTTGTTGTTCTCTGTGTAATCTGCAAACCAGAATTTGAATGGACACGAATCACTCAAGTGACCAGCAATCAGCCAATCTGAAAAAGGAATTCGTCACCCGACAAGACTTGCACTTCGAGTTGGAGAAGTTGATGGATAATTAAGGATGTCAGCATTGTACTCATTTAACGACTTTTAAATATTTGACGCCATAAAGAGGAAACACATTCTTGGCATAATTTTGGTACCTTGTGTCGTTATTTACATATTCGAGTGAATTGTTATGTCCAAAGGTTGACATTTACGAACTGAATTGATATTCTGACTTGGATTCTGGTGTGAAAGAAATAACAAATCTGTAGGATTAGGCTTTAATAGGCTTAATGTTGGACATGTGTGTGGCGCCAGTGGCCGTGTTTTAGGACACAGACAACGTAACT